GGCTCAGTGGTTAAGAGCACTGACTGCTCTTGCAGAGGAACTGGGTTCTATTCCCAGCACCCACATGGCAGCTATGAACCGTCCTTAACTCCAGTTCCAGGGGAATCTGAAGCCCTCTTCTGACCTCTGCAGCATTGCAGGACATGGGTGCACTCACATACATACAAGCAATACACTCATACACATAGAAAAATTTTTTTAAAAATTTAAAAAAAAAGAACACTGAACTCAATGCACAGCTAATTTTCATCACCTACTAGCCAAGAATCAAACTACAAAGAAAATGATAGTTGATTAGAATATCTTGTTTTCACTGTAATAGCCACATTATTTGACATGGCAGTAAAATCAATGGCAGAATGTTATTTAGTTCTTATCTGAGAATCTGCAAGTTGGACTTTATTTTTCATGATCTGACAAGTAAGTTCTATTTTATCAGTTAAAAGTATGACCCAGGTTTGATTCCCAGTGCCTACATGGCAGTTAACAACTGTCTGTAAGTCCAGTTCCAGGGGATCTGACACCTTCTGACCTCCACGGGCATTGCAAGGAACGGGTGCACTTACATGCAGGCAATACGCTCATACACGTTTAAAATATTTTATTTTCATTTCATGTGTATGAGTGTATTGGCTGCATGTATGTGAGTACACCCGTGTCCTGCAATGCCGCGGATGTCAGAAGAGGGCTTCCGATTCTCCTGGAACTGGAGTTAAGGACAGATCGTAGCAACCATGTGGGTGCTGGGAATCGAACCTGGGTCCTCTGCAAGAGCAGTCAGTGAGTGCTCTTAACCACTGAGCCATCTCTCCAGCCCCAACATGTTTAAAATAAAATTAAATTTTTTTTAAGTAGGAACAACAACAACAAAAAGAACAATCCTGTAATCCCAGCACTTGGGAAGCTGAGGCATGAAGTTTACTGTAAGTTCAAGGCCACCCTGGACTACACAGACCCTGTCTCAAAATAACAAAGTAAAAATAGAAATACATTAAGTATTTAAAAATAAGTTAAAATGTAAACTCCTTAAAGGGAGGGACTTTGTCTCTTCTGTTTGTATTCCTGGTACCTTTACCTATTAGAGCTCAGTAAATCATTGCTGAATGAGTTTGTCTATAAACTAAATCAAATCAGACTGGGCTTTGCATACTAATTCTTCTGATTTTATGAATGCTATTTCATTATTTTTCCTTTAGGGCTTCCAGAATTGGAAGATGGAAAAAAATATTGTAAACTTTGTCGATGAGTCAGTATCTGTATTTGTCAAGACGTAAACTTACCGAGACACTTAAGACCTAGAAAGTATTGGAGGGCTAGGAATATAGCTCAGAGGTAGAGTACCTGGCCTAGCAGACTTGTGGTCCCTAGTACCACAAAAACAGATACCAGAAAAATGCATACAATAAGAAAATACAAGTATGACGGAGCAGTTACAAAAAGCAGCAGACCCAACGGATTTAAATCATCAAACAATTGACTGTACATGCTCTAAATGGAAAAAAATGAAGTTGAGCAATTCTGCCCTCTTCTGGCTGTTTGAACAAATTGTAGAGCACTGGAACTCCAACATGGCAGAAAAACCAATCACCTTTCAGTTATGCTAAATTTACATATTATAATCTTATTGGTTAAGTTTCAAAAGCCCTTTTTAATTAAAAATAAGATATAATTAGTTAGCAAATACACAGGCATTGCACCAGGGCATGGTGGTGCACGCCTTTAAACCCTGCACTCAGGATGCACGGGCACAGGGATCTCTGTGAGTTCGAGACCAGCCTGGTGTACATAGTGAGTTCCAGGCCAGCTGGGGCTACAGGTAGACCTTGTCTCAAAAAGACCAAAAAATGAAAAAGTAGGCAACAGCTTAAGTAAACTAGTAAAAAACATTTATCAATTAACAGTTTTATTTTAAAAATTGAGAGTTAGAGATGTGGCTTAATAATAGAATGATTGGCCAGCATGCCTGAAGCCCTGGGTTCAATCCTCAGCAACACAGAATTTATAGTTTGAAAATAGCTAAAACAACCTATATCTAGGCTGCACCTGTTCTATACTACCCAAGTAGCTTAGATTGTTACTAAATATCAAAGTAAACATCCTGATCATCTGTTTGTTTTGTCTTTCTGAAACAAGGTCTTCCTGTAGCCCCAGCTGACCTGGAACTCCCTCTGTAGACCAGGTTGGCCCTGAACTCAAAAAGATCCACCTGCCTCTGCTGGGATTAAAGGTATGCGCCACCACACCTGGCAGTTACTTCTTATTTGTACTTGAAGAGCAAGGCTCTTTTTTTTTTTTTTTTTTTAAAGGCAAGGTCTCACTATATAACCATAGCTGGCCTGGAATTTGCTATGTAGACCAAGATAGACTTGAATTTACAGAGATCTGCCAGTCTCCAGAGTGCTGGGATTACAGACATGTACCACCTCATCCCATGTTTTTTGTTTTGGTGATGGTGGTATTTTTTTTTTTGACACAGGTCCAGCCCTGCCTCAAACTCACTACATTATGTAGCTGAGGCTGGACTTCAACTCCTGATCCTCCTGCCTCCATTTTCCAACTGCTGGGATTATAGACTTTTACCATGACACCTGACCAATATTGTGCCCACTTTAAGATACACCTTGACCATCAGAACTGGAAACTAGCCGGGCATGGTGGTGCATGCCGTTAGTCCCAACACCCGGGAGTCAAAGGCAGGCAGATCTCTCTGAGTTTGAGGCCAGTCTGGTCTACATAGCCAAGTTCCAGGCCAGCTGGGGGCTACAGGGAGCCCGATTCAAAAAAGACCAAAAAAAGGGCTGGGCGTGGTGGCGCACACCTTTAATCCCAGCACCAGGAGGCAGAGGCAGGCAGATCTCTGTGCGTTCAAGGCCGTCCTGGTCTACATAGTGAGTTCCAGGACAGCTGGGGCTACAGAGACACCATCTCAAAAAGACCAAAAAAAAAAAAAAAAATTTATGAGTTTTAGATTTTTGAACAGCAGACTCCTTTCTAGATTGGTTCTTGATTTGACACTTGTTTTTTTCTGCTGCTTAACAGTGTAATAGTTCAATGAGTTTCCCCTCACTAGACTGCAAGTTCCAAGATACTAGAAAATTTGTTTCTGAGATGGTCTGTGTAGCCTAGGCTAGCCTTAAACTCTACATCCTCCTGCCACAACCTCCCAAGTAGGATGACAGGCATTTATACCTACTTGTCCTTTATCATTGTATCCCTGGCAGAGTAGGCTAAAATGTATTAGTCTTAAAGCACAACTTGGGCTGGAGAGATGATGGCTCAGCAGTTAAGAGCGCTGGCTGCTTTTACAGAGGACCAGGGCTGGGTTCCCAGCAGCCACATGGCAGCTAACAGATCCAAAGGATCTGATGCCCTCTTCTGGTCTCATCAGACATTGCATGCATGACATGGGTCTGCTTACATACATGCAACCAAAACACTCATAAAAAAAATTGTACAGTTGGGCTTAGTGGTATATACTTATTTAAGTACATTTATTAACCAATGTTAACACATTAAATGAATCTATATACTGCTAGTCAGAGCAGCTTACAAAACACCAGAATACATCATAGAACCAGACAGCCACAATGGGTAAGTGGTTATCATCTTACAAAACACCAGAATGCATCATAGAACTGGACAGCCACGATGGGTAAGTGGTTATAATCTCTTTATCTGAGTGAGACTCAAGAGGCAGGATGATCATGAGTTCCAGGCCAGCCTGGGCAAGAGTTCAAGACTAATGTGGGCTACACAGTAAGAAAGACCCTGTGTCAAAGCTTTTGTCTCTGGGGGGGAAAAAAAGCAAAATATATCTAACAGATACCTGAAAAAAACTGTTTCAATTTTGATGTATACAAAACTATATCATCCAATACAATCTTATCTGTAGCATTTAACAGTTTTTCACTTCAAAAGTATTTGGCTTTAAAAACTTGCTTTTTAACTGGGCCTGGTGGTGCACGCCTTTAGTCTCAGCACTCCGGAGGCAGAGGCAGGCAGATGGATCTCTGTGAGTTTGAGGCCAGCTCATCTACATAGCTCCAGGCCAGCTGGAGCTACAAGGAGACCCTGTCTCAACAAGACAAAAAATATAGAAACTTGCTTATTTCTAGGCTTTATTAAAAGATCAAAGTTGAGTAGTAAAGATTGAAAATCCACAATTTATACTGAAATATCTTAATGTAAACATGTTATATAATACAAACATTATAATCATACAATTATATGTTCATACAAACAATAAAAAATGTAGTGACATAAGGAGATACAGAAAATAAAAATCTTCCCCATCCTCCAATCTTCCAGCATCAAAACTTCAAACAAGCTGAGCATGGTGGTTCATGCCTACAGTCCCAACACTAGGGGGCATATATAAGGTAGGAGTTGTGAGTTTAGGGCAAAAACAAAAACCTGTGAACAATTTCTTAAAATACATCTGATAGAGTCTAATAAGTCTCAAGACTTTGTTTAATCTCTATTGATTTGTTTTACATAATGTTGAAACATAATTAGTATCCAGGCAGTGTCAAGAGCCTTCCACAAAAATGGCAAATAAGAAGCTAGGGAAATGGCTCAGTGGTTAAGAGCACTGGCTGTTCTTGCAGAGCACTTGGGTTCAGTTCCCACCACCCACATGGTGGTTAACAACCATATAAATAAAACTCCATTTTCAGGAGATGTGACAGATTCTTCTGGCCTCTACACACAGTGCACACATGTGGTGCACTTACATATAACACAGGCAAAACACTCATACAAATAAAAATAAAGGAGCAGGGGCTGGAGAGATGGCTCAGCAGTTAATAACACTGGTTGTTCCTACAGAAGACCCAGGTTCAAATCCCAGCACCCACATGGCAGCTAACAACTGTCTGTAACTCCAGTTCCAGGGGCTCCAACAGCCTCTTCTGACCTCTGCGGGCATTGCATCACAGGTGCACTTACCTACATGCATACACATAAAATTAAAAAAAAAAAAAAAAAGCTGGCTGATCTTTATGAGTGAGTTCGAGGCCAGTCTGGCCTACATAGTGAGTTATGAGCCAGCCAGGGCTAAAAAAAAAAAAAATTCTGTCACAGATTGAAACAGCCAAGGCTAGATTTAGTAATCTAGTCTTTAGCAAAGCATATTTTTTACCACTAAAATAATGGTGACCAAATATATACATCCTACCCATTGGTCACAAAAATTTTATAATTTTGCCTTGTAAATTGAGTACATACGTAACTAAGCAGTTGATAAACATATAAAGACTGAGCACAAGTAAGGCCCATGAGGTACTGCTGTGTAATGTATCCATCATCAAGTTGACCAGACCAGTTGTTATATTTGACAATAAGAAAAAAAATAGCTGATTTCTGTTTAGAGCTGTGATTAAACAGAGGCTGGATTCAGATTCCTTTTTTTCAGTTTCTGGGACTAGAGATTCAGAATGCTTTTTATTTGTAGGAGGCAACTGAATAAGTTTCCAAGAACATGGTACTCGAGCTCCTTTGGTTAGAAATTTGGCAAAACTCAAAATTATATCACTCAACAACAAACAACTAAGAAGCATCAGGCTAGAGGCAACTATCCACATACAAAAGGCTAAATTGGCCATTCTTCGAGAAACTGCCTCGACATTGACTTGAACTATATACAGAGCTATGAAGAAGCTAACAGCTACTAGCAGAAGACAACATGCAACTTTTATCCAGTCTTTGATATGTGCTCTGTTCCTAAGAATATACAACCCTGTTTGCACACCAGCCATGTATATTGTCACATACCCCAAAGTGGAGATTATTCCTTCTCGATTGGCATTTAATAAACCAACCCTTGTGCCACTGCCATCAGTACCATACAAAATTAGCTTCTTTAGTGGAGTAAAGTCAAGGGCTAGCTGGTATAAAATGATAATGCTGACAGCCACAATCCAGGATTTATTTAAGGGAAAAATAACCAAAAGCAGTGATGTTATCAATTTCACTACTATGATGGTAAAGAAAAAGTTCCAGTGAACGCCATACTCAGTTAAATGTTCCTGATAGCCTATGGATTTTATAACAGCTAACCGTCCCATTCCTAGAAAGACTAATGGCCAAACAGAGTACAGTGATTTTCTAAGAGAATTAAATTTGGACCCTTCTATGTATTTCCTTCTAACCTCTGGACAAACCATTGCAGTCCCAAAAATAAGGCCACCTACTCCAAAATCCATTGCCCCCGTCCCATAGAATTCAGTTTTGGCAAATCTTCTGGGGAACAGAGGGAAGTCCACAGCCAAAATGGCAATAGCAGTAAGCACACTGTTAGTGACACGGTAACAGGCGATGGCTGGACTATAATCTGATTCTAGGCTGATTTTCAAGAATTTTTCCAAGATTTTCTGGACAGGCACTTTGGCATAGCAAGTCCTCCTCTGGTATATCTGATACAACAGCCATACCTCATACATAATTACAGTGAGAGTCTCAAGGAAAATAAATGAAGACAATATAGTCAAAGTGATCACTAGGGGAACTATTAGGATAACAAAGTCAATCAAGAATCGTGTTCTCCAGGTGTGTGAAACAGAACACAAGTGCTGTGAGAAAATGATCAGGAGGCCTCTACACAGGATACAGAATGCAGGAAAACACAAGCCCTGGGTGACTTCCAACACGCTGGTCCCATTGAGGTTACTGACAAAAGCTTCCTTCATCTGCTTTTGAGACATGTTTTTTTCTTTCTGTGAAAACAAGAGCAAAAAATGGATTTGTGGAAAGCAACATTCTTGTGAAACTGGTATATATATATATATATATAATTTGAATTTATGAACTTGGAGGTTGCAGAGCAGAACTTTAGGCCCTAGTGATTTCAATTCAGGGGCCAAACCTATGACTTCTGATTCTCCTAGAACCTAAGATTATGGGGAACAGCCAGCATTAATTCATTAGGATAGGCATGTCAGAGGAAAAGTATAAAATTGTCGGTGGAAAGCTTTATCTCAAAAGTAAATTTGGAAACTGGTGTGTGGTGCATACCAGTGATCCCATCACTTGGGGATAAGAGGCAGGATGGTCCTTACCTACATATCGAGTTCCAGACCAGTCTGGGTTACATAAGGCCTTGTTTTAAAAATAAACAAGGGGCTGGAAAGATGGCTCAGCGGTTAAGAGCACTGGCTTGCTCTTGCAGAGGATCCGGGTTCGATTCCCAGCACCCACATGGTGGCTTCAAACAGGCCTTAACTCCAGTTCCTGGGGAATCCGAAGCCCTCTTCTGACCTCGGCGGCAATACACTCATACACATAAAATAAAAATAACAAACTATTAAAAAATAAAAGTAAATTTGGGATATAAACCCAAATGGCATCAGAGTTGGGAATTTCTACTGCACAGCATAATGCTGTATATATCATGAAAACTTTAATAAAAGTTGAGTACATATTGCTAAGAACCTTAAGTTCCAGATGAGAAGCGAGAGAAGCTGTCAAGTATACTTTGGAGTCAAGTTCCTTGCTTTCTGTTCAGAGCCTCAAAACTTACCACTACATAGGGTACAAAAGCGAGACTATAGGAGCCCCAATGTGCTCTTTCACTGGTCCTACACAGCCATAGTTGGGAGATTAGGGCGCAGGTGAACAGAATGGCCACATAGCACATACCACTAATGACTTCTTTATACAGGACATAAAATCTCTGCCACATACTAATGTCTGAAAAGTGGCGCTCTGGGAGAACACATTCGTCGGTCAGCTATTGGTACCTGAAGGTAGCACGAACTCCGGCCGGTCTGGGCCCCGCATCAGTATCTCACCATAGCGGTTCCCTTTTTCCTGACAGACCTCGCCACAGCCTCACCCAGCCCCTCTCCCTTCCCAGCTCCCGGGGCAGCAAATCAGGGTTGAGGGTCTTCAGCGCTGGCTGGGCAGGCCAGCTGCCACACCACCTGCCGGACCTGCAGCTTCCGCCTCGAGAGCGACGCTTCCGGCCTGCAGCGCGGCATGCTCTTCCGGGCTGGTAGACTCCGCGCCACGCTCGGGATGGCGCCTGTCCCCGCCCCGCCGGCTGCCCCACGCCTCTCTCAGTGGGGGCCTGGGCTAGTTCAGACCCTCCCGAGTCCGGCGGTGCGCCAGTACGTGGGAAGCCGGCCACCCCCAGAGAACGAGCCCACGGCAGCACCCGAGGGTCCCCACACGGACCTCGTGAGGCCTCAGACACACCACCCCGACCCAAGTCTCAAAACTTCGCCTCCAACGGAGCCGGCAAGCCGGGCACGCCACGTGCGCCCCGCCCCAAGGGAGGAGCGAGCTGCGCCGGCCTCTAGCTGAGCTGCGGCGGGTGGCGGGCGCTTGGCGATCCCGCTACCCCTCCCGGCCGCTCCCGCCGACTCACCCGGCCCACCGCCCTTCCAGTCGGCCCCGGCGGGCGAGAACTGCACCCTCGGCGGCTCGGCCGTGGGACCGGTGAGTGCCACTCCTAGCCCAGATCCGAAGCCCTGCACGACCCCGAGGGGTGTGGGAGGCCAGTGTGTCCTCGAGCCTAAAGTAGAAGGCGTCATCTCCCCCTCTGGAATTCGGCATTTCCTTTACTACCCTCTTGTATCCCGGGAGGAGGTAGCTCGACTTGTGGTCCTTGCCGAAGACAAGGACTTTCCGCGGTTATGGCTCGACTGTACGGGGTCTGAGGGGGAGTTCCCGGCTGGTGGGATCCCGACGTCTGACTTGCTTGGCCTCCCCAGGAATCATAAGGGAAGCATAAGGGCAACTGCGCCCTTGATTAGGGGTCATATCCACCTTTCCGGCAAGGACAAATTCTAGGTGCTTCCGGAGCGACATCGCAACCGTGGGCACGTTGCCAGTAGCAAAAGTCCTGGTTCCCGCCAGGAACCCGGGGCAGAGGCAGGCTGAGCCCTCAGAGTCCTTATCCAGCTCTTTTAGGCATCTGCCCTCCTATCCTTCTTGCCAAAAAAGAAACTGAGGCAGGGGCCGAGGAGCTAGTGATCAGGTTGCCACTTGCCTTGTCTGGTGTCCCACCTATTCATTACTCTCTTCTGCCACTGGTCACACCCTTTCCAGAAATTTTTGGTGGTAACCGCGAAAGGAGGGAGCAAGAGCTAGGAGAACTGGAGAAAACCGATCAGATCTGACTTGACTCCAACCTGGAGCTGACGCCTGGTAATAACCAGCATTTACTAAGCTCTCACACAGTACGCAGTAATTTCAGTAATTTCATACTGTGAGGTATGGGTATTATTACTCCATTTACAAATGTATAAAAAGAATGAGGCTTAGAGAGCTGTGAGAAGGCTTGTGAGCCTTGAATTCTAATTGTACTCCTATTGTGCTCCCCCATCAGGCCTCTCTCAAGACAAGCTTCTAGCCACAGGAGCTTTGTTCTCCAGAGACCGTTGGATGATGGCATAATGTCCAGAGTGAAAATGTCTAGCACAGTCCTGGTACTCTTTCTGCTTGAATTTTCCCATTACAAGTTTCCATGGAAGTCCCTGGTCTGGGTTCTTTAAAGACTAGATGTATTTAGAGCTTCAAGAAGTTTCTGCCAATGTTAGCCTATTACAGATTCCCCTCATTGCTGGAGAGGAATTGAGGCCTAGGATATTCCAAGTCGGAGTTAAAATCATTTTTCAGAAGCTGACCTAAGCCCATTCTCACACCTCTCCCTCTCAGATAATCTTATCTTGTTTGTTTGTCTCTCTGTTTAAGACAAGGTCTTGTAGTGTAGCCCAGATAGGCCTCAAACGCTTGAGATCCTTCTGCCTCAACCTCCTAAGTGTTGAGATTACAGGCATGTGCCATCAACTCTAGGTTTAATGCTAGCATTCACCCTCAGTGATATCAGATTTGTACTTTGTACTGTCTTACAAACCATGACCTCATTAACCTTCATAACCACTACTTGTAGGGTGGTTGTAACCCTGTTTTCAAGGTGAGAGTTTAAAGTAGGGATACCTCAGGGTCATATACCCATCTAATGGCTGAACTATGATTTTGTAACATCAAGAGCTGACTCCAGTCCCAATTCCCCACCAGCTGCTGGCTACACTTAAGTATTTCTGTCTAGTGGAGATGCTTGGGCATAAGACTGTCTCTCCACTGTCTTCATTCTCCATGGCAAACTGACCCAGAATATTTTCAACCCCACCCCAACCCTAACCTTAAAACTGTAATAAAGCTGGCCTTGGCCTTTTACTATCAGGAAAACATCAAAAAGTAGCCCAGGCAGTCTCTGAAGGCTCTCATCAAAGTTTCCCCAGTTCCTAATTGGCAAGGAAAAGGACAGACTCTCACTCTCTGCCCAGGCCTGCCCTGGTTCTCCTTTTGGGAGGAGTAGGAGTGAGTCACCCTGGAGAAGCCCTCACCTGTGTGTGGCCCTTGTCTTCTTTCTGTTACTGCAGCTCTGGGATGACTTGTGTTGATTCCTCCATGCCTGAGTCTTCTGCTGGAGCAGAGGCCCCATGAGCCGGTGGATAAACAGCACTCCTTGTACCTCTGAGCCAGAACTCTGGCTGACCACATAGAAGCATGATGCTCCAACAGGTAAACCCTCAACCTTGCATAACCTAGGCCTCAAGCACCTGAGGCACTTTCCTGTGTTTTGCTTGTCTGAATGAATATTCCAGTGTGCTTATCTGGAAGGACAAGAAAGACCCCTTTTTTCTTTCCTCACTTCAGATAGTCACACTAATGCTCTTCCTCATACCTAATTTGAACAATTCCCATGTTGTGGTTTTGTAGCTCTTTTCCTTGGAATTGGTTAGGTAGTATAGGTGAAGGAATCCAGGACACTTTGCTGATCTTATAGGCGAAAATACTGAGAGAGGTTTCTGCCAGCCTCTTTTATTGAAGCACAGTAGAAGTCCTGGACTTCCAAGAAAGGTTCATTGGAGGTGGGCTTTAAGAATAAATGCTATATAGCTCTGGCTGATCCCGAACTTGCTTTGTAGACCAGGCAGGCCTCAAACTCACACAAATCCTCCTGCCTTTACCTCCTGAGTGCTGGGATTAAAGGCTTGCACCACTAAATAACCAAAACCAGGGGCTGGAGAGATGGCTTATCAGTTAAGAGCACTGGCTGCTCTTACAGAGGACCCAGGCTCAAGTCCCAGCTTATACATGGCAGCTAACAACCATCAGTAACTCTAGTGCCAGAGGATCTAACACCCTCTTCTGGCCTCCATGGACATTGAATGCATGTGGTACATTTACACGCAGGCAAAACACTCATACCATAAAACAAAAACAAATAAGTAAAAAAAATTTTAAAGAATAATAACTAGCCGGGCATGGTGGCACAGAGGCAGGCGGATCTCTGTGAGTTCAAGGCCAGCCTAGTCTACATAGTAAGTTCCAGGACAGCTGGGGCTACAGGGAGACCCTATCTCAAAAAGACCAAAAAAAAAAAAAAAAAAAAACACCTTTTTTTTTCTTATTATGAAGTAATAATGTTTACCTAACCATATAGTGGCTGCCCGGTATTGATCCCTTGTATAGTAGGCACTACACCTGAGTATTTACTCTTCACATCACCATGAGAAAAACAGTACTGTTATGTCCCCCTTTTGGAGATAAGGCTCAGAAAAGTTAAATGACTGATTCAATGTCATACTCATCAAGAATTTGGAAAATAAAGATAATCAAAACATTAAAATTATTCATAGTCATACTATCCAAAGATAACATTTTAGGGACTATCCTAGGTTTTTTTCCCTTTTTTTCTTTTTAAGGTCTTGTTGTGTAGCCCAGGCTGGGCTTGAATTCATGACAACAGAACAGTCTCCTGCCTCAGCCTCCTGAGTGCTGGGATAACAGGTGTAAACTACCATACCCAGCAATAACAGCTACTTCTTTTGGCATATTCTACCTGCCTTTCTATAACTATATAACCCTTTGTATATTTATAGCTACCTAGGAGGTAGGTACAGTCACCATTCCTATCTTAGTGATAAGGAAAATTGAGATAAAAAGAGATTAAGAAACGTAGATAGGATTATACAACTAGTTAGTGGCAGAATCAGGATTCAAACTCAGGCAGCCCAGCTTTAATTTACACTTTATTTATTTGCAGCACTTGAGGATTGAACGTGGGGCCTCACCCATGCTAAGCAAGTGCTATAATACCACTAAGCTATATTCCCAGCCTTCTTTTTACTTTTTATTCTGAGACATAAGTCTTAAATTGCCCAGACTGGCCTTTAATTTAACAATCCCCTTGCCTTGGCTTCCTGAGTAGGGGATTATAGTCCTGTGCTGCTAGGTCCAGCATAATCTAGCTTTCAATTCCAAGATCTTGATCTTGAATCAAACCTGATATCTAGCTGATATTTTAGGTAGACCCTTCCTCCATTCCCTTCCTTTCCCTTTTTTTTTCTCCCTTTCCTCTTCCCTTCCTTTTTCTTCCTTTCTTTCCCTTCCATAGATTCCACTGTACTGGCTACAGCAGTTATACTAGGGAGGAAGAGCCTACTTTGCATATTATGATGGGCCTAAGGCTCAGTGGATTGGCAGCATCTTTGAAAGAAACTCATTACTGTGTCACTCAAATGAAATGTGCCACCTTGGCTTATTCCCTGAGGGATTTGAGCTTTTAGGGTTCACCAGTCTCACTGAAAACTCCCATATGTCATACCCAAACTTACCCTGATTTCAGCCAGGTGCCTAGTCTTCTTTTCCCACAGCATCCTCCCTGGGGAACACAGACAGCAGCCTCTACTTTGAGCCCTGTAAGACTGGTAGCTTGTACCCTAAAACTGACTTGGCGGAGCTCATCAGAAAGGAGACAGGAGGGCATTTATTATAAACACGTACTATGCAAAGCCTTGACTAAATGCTTTGTGTTTCTCTTCAAAATAACCCTGAGAGTTGAGTTTATTTTACATTATTTACTAATAAAAACCTGCGGCTCAGAGAGGTGAAGTAAATTACCCAGGCTCTTAGGGATAATAAGTAGCAGAACTGAAATCTGAGCCACCTGGATCTTGTAGAGACCTGTTCTTTGTAGACTACACCCTCATTAGCTGCCAGCTGGTCTGAGTCCCTGCTCTCATGGCCCTTCTCTTGTTCCCCCTCCAGGTGAATGGCCACAGTTCAGGCTCCGAAACCCCAGGCAAAGCATCCCTTGGGGAAGATCTACAGGAATTCCTGGGTCAGGAGGCCCCACTGCACCAACTGGATGACCTCACCAAAGTAAATCCTGTGACACTGAAGACAGGTATGAACCTTCCTCTCCAGGGTGCTGTTCCAATAGAGAGCTAACAAGGGGTCTCCAACAGGTTTCCCAATTCAGACCAAGCAGTGAGACTCCTGACCTGGCTTCTCCCCCAGGAAGCCTGGCAGCTGTACCTAGGTTCCCCAGGGCAGGCTTTGCTCCAGATTTGGGGCTTGTCTTAATTAGATCTTGTATCTATTCATCAGGGAGCTACAGGAATCTAATGGCACTTGGCTAATTACAGAGGGAGGGCTGCTTGGCAGACGTGTGTCTATGGTTTTTGTTATATTTGAGGCAGACTTTGCTAACAGAGTATTTGCCTCAGTCCTGAGATGCTTACAGGCCCGGTATATGGCAGACATATTTTATACCAATGCTGGCTGTACCCTGGTAGCTTTGAACCCCTTCAAGCCCATCCCTCAACTCTACTCACCAGAGCTGATGCAAGAGTACCATGCTGCTCCTCAGCCCCAGGTAAGACTCTGCTGGTTTCTATGCTCTCAAGGCTCTGGCCTGAGCCTCCCTGCAGCTTCCCCATCTTTCATCTGTTTACCAGTAACACAGTCATTCAAAGCCTGTTGGAGCCCAATAGGAACTCTCAAAAATTTGCACACGCCTTTAATCCCAGCACTTGGGAGGCAGAGGCAGGCAGATCTCTGTGAGTTCAAGCCAGCCTGGTCTACATAGTGAGTTCCAGGACAGCTGGGGCTACAGGGAGACCCTGTCTCAAAAAGACAAAAAAAAAATAGAAACAGAACATTGAACATAGAAACATAACATTGTAACCTAAAATAGAAACATAGGACTAAAGATTTTTTTTTTCTTAAAACAAACGATTTACAGAAGTAGTTGTATATTTAACTGCCCTTTTAGAAAAGAATAAAATTATATGCAATAGCAATTGTCTTTGACTAGTCAGCACATGTTCATCTATACTGAGAAGAATACATTTTTCTACTAAAAGAAGAGAATAAATTATTTGAGGGATGGAGGGAGAGACTAGGAGTGGATTTGTTAAAGTGCTTGATGTGTTCAGGGAGAGGCAGTAAATAAGAACTTGCTTGCTGGCAGGAGAGAGGCAGTAGATAAGGGTAGGAAGATGTGTACATTATGGCTAAAGTTCCACAGCAGGCAGAGTCCACACAGCAGCTTCATCACAGTGAAGGTGGACCTGTGAACAGAGATGACTGGAGGAAGAATGAGAGTAAAGGAGGCAGGGAAAACACTCAGAGGCTTTGTAGCTGTCCAGGTGAGAGATGGCTGGGATAAGAACAGATATAGAGAAACACAGCTTGAACACCACCCCCAGTGGGTTCCTGCTCCTCAGAAAGCTGTAAGTGATCACTGCTGGCTAGGCTGGTGAGGCATGGTACAGATGACCTGGCTCTCCAGGAGTTCATGTATGAAGAACCTGAATGAAGGCCAAGGAATTCTCTCCTGAGAGCCCTGGTCTGACCCACTATTTGCCCTCTCCTCAAAGGCAAAAGTCAGGTCTCTTTCCTCGGTACCCTACTTGATGCTAGCACATTGAGGACACTATTTGTTGAAAGAAAAGGAGAACAGTGGCCAAATCACAGATATATTTACTTGCTGAAGACCTTGGCAGGTAATTGTTAATGCCTCTGAACCTTAGATACCTCATCTTTAAGGGCTATCTAATGCACAGACTTCTTAAGCAGTAACTTAGAAGAAATCATTTCCTAGATTGTAAAATTCAATAACAATAAGCAGCAGAATAAGACTATTAAATAGAAATAAGGCTGGGGATATAACTCAGTTGGTAGAGTGCTCACCTAGCACGTACAGAGATCTGGATTCAATCTCCACGATTGCCTAAACCAGGTGTAGAGGCACGTGTCTATAATCCCAGCATTTTGGAATTTAACGCAGGAGGATCAGAATTTCCAGGTCATCCTCAGCTACATAGCAAGTTCTAGACCAGCCAGCGCTGCATGAGACCCTATCTTAAAAAAATAAAGGAAGTAGCCAGGTGTGGTGGCACACGGTTTTAATCCCAGCACTCAGGGAGGCAGAGGCAGGCAGATCTCTGTAAGTTCAAGGTCAGCCTGAACTACATAGTGAGTTTCAGGCCAGCTGGGGCTACAGGGAGACTCTGTCTCAAAAAACCAAAAAATAAAAATAAATAAATAAAGGAAGGAAGTAGTAGTAGAAGTAGTAGTAATCTTTAATCCCAGCACTCAGGAAGCAGAGACAGGTTAGGGTTAGGGTTAGGTGAGTTTGAGGCTAGCCTGGTCTATATAGTAAGTTCCAGGCCAGCCAGAGCTATAGTAAGACCCTGTCTCAAAAAGATAAAATCTTATGAGCGCATAAAGTACTAATGTTGAGTGCTTAAGGCTAGCTGCTTCCTTGCTGAGAGACCCTCAGTAGATAAAGCTTCCATAGGAGTTCCAAAGTTGGGCCTAACATTAGGGAACCCAGGGAAGTTTTTCTAGAGGAAACAGGACCACTCATGGCAGCCTACCAATCTGGGCTGTCATTAGATCAACCACTTCTTGAGGTGTTCATGTGACTTTCCACTCTGATATTTCAGAAATTGAAACCCCACATCTTTACTGTGGGTGAACAGACCTACAGGAATGTCAAAAGCCTGACTGAGCCAGTCAACCAGTCCATTGTGGTCAGTGGAGAGAGTGGAGCTGGAAAGGTAAGAGAGCTGCTTTCCTACCCTGTCTCTGCATACTTGGCTAGGTGAGCAGAAAGGCAAGGATATTCCTAGTGAAGTCATTGGCTACCAAAAACAGGGAGTCTGTGTGCCATGGTGGATAAGCACCATGCCAGAAGTCAGAAGACAGGCCTTCAGTGCAACTTTCGCTGCTAGCTCTGCTCCCACTCCACCCTTATACCTTCATTTTCTCACTGAAGCTCCCTCTAGCATCTCTAGAAACAGCAATCAGCTATTGGGGATTCTAGCATAGTGATGCATCGGATTGAGCATATTAGAAAGGTACCTAACATCTGCAGACTTCAGTGTTTTAATTTGTAAAAGGGAAGGAAATAGAGGACCAACACTGGCTGGGACTACTATGGGAGTTAAGAAGTCAGTGCAGCCTGACATGGTGCTACACACCTGTAATCCCAAAATTTAGGAGGCGATATAGGAGAATCACAAACCAGCCTACATAATCAGACCCTATTTATAAATATAATAAAATAAACACAAGGTAGGAGCCAGTGCACAGAGATACTTGATAACATGCTTGGCACATAGCAGTACTCCAAAAGTAACTGGTCTTACTGTAGGAGAAAGTTTACTAGAGGAAACCAAAACCTGCCTGGGTTGTCAGTGATGGCATGGATGCACTTATATACATTCAGGCAATATACTCATACACATTAAATAAATAAAAAGAGATGAAATATTTTTTTTAAAAAAGAAAAATAGAAAAAAATGAACACCTCCAAACTCAGAAACACCTACTGAATTTGGTTTTTTTGTTTGTTTTTAAAAAGAAAAAAGTCCTTAAATAAATAAATAGAAGAAGGAAAAGTTTGGGGGCAGGGGTGCTTTGATATAACTAAGTTGTACAGTGTTTACATAACATGCAGGAGGAACTGCATAAACCATGCACTGGGAGACAGAGGCAGGAAATTCAAGGTCATGACCCTCAGCTACAAAGTAAGTTCAAAACCAACTAAACTATATGAGACCTTATCTGGTTTTTTTGTTTTATTTTGTTTTCTGTTTTCTGTTTTGTATTGTAGCCCCACCTGACCTGGAACTCAATATGTAGACCAGGCTAGCCTTGCACTCACAAAGACCACCTGCCTGTAGAGTGCTGGGACTAAAGGCATTCACCACCACGCCCTGCAAGACCTTGTCTGAAAAAAACACTGTAGAGAGTTTAGTTTAGCAAGGTGATAAACACATGCATACAAAACCCAGTTGTATTCTTCTGATGTGGAGATATACCTCATAATTCCTGTACTCAGGAAACTGAAGGAGAAGGATCTTGAGTTCAAGGTCAGCCTGGGCTATGTAACTATATACCCTGTCTCAAAAAATAACAAAACACCTTTCCAGTGGTGACATACTCCTTATGAGAACATGCCTCTCCAGAAGAGAAGAAACAAGACGATGTGCCTTGTGCAGAGCCCCAGTCCTACTTCGTAGTTGTGAGATACCCAGGATGCTATAAAATCCTCCATGGTTTTCAGCCGTGCACAGAAACTGGTAGTGTTGTATGCTGGTTGCTCCATTACTGTCAGCCTGCAGGCAGAAAAGCAGGGCTGACAGAAGGCTTTCCTTCAGAAGGAAGCAGCACTAGAAGTGCCCTGAGTCAAGATGAGAAACCATCCCAATAAACATATTTTGGATAGGGGCTGGAGAAATGGTTCAGTGGTTAAGAACAGTGGCTATTCTTGCAGAAGACCTGGGTTTGAATCCCAGCACCCACATGGCAGCTAACAACTGTCTGTAACTCCAGTTCAAGGGGATTCAACACCCTCTTCTGACTTCCATGGGCACTGCATGACACTAGTGTACTTACATACATGCAGGCAATACATAGATACACATAAAATAAAAAATAATATTTTTTGCTGGGCATGGTGGCACACGCCTTTAATCCCAACACTCGGGAGGCAGAGGCAGGTGGATCTCTGTGAGTTCAAGGCCAGCCTGATGATCTATATAGTGAGTTCTAGGCCAGCTGGGGCTACAGGGAAGTGGAAAATATGATAATCAAGTTTACAAACCAAGTACAACTGGTTAACCAACGATAGAGTGGCTCATTCTGACTGGAAAGCCTAGGAAGTCAATGACAGTAGAACACCAGCAGGGCCTTCCATAGTAGGCAAAATAGTGACCAAGAATAATTAAAAAAAAAATATTTTGGGGGGGCTGGAGAGATGGCTTAGTAGTTAAGAACACTGACTGTTCTTGCAGAAGACCCAGGTTCAAATCTCGGCACCCACATGGCAGCCAACAATTGTCCATAACTCTGGTTCCAGGGGATCTGACAGCCTCTTCTGTCCTCCACGGGCATTCATTGCACAACACAGGTGCACAATACACATAAAATAAAAATAGTGAATAAATTTTTTTTTTCAGCTGGGGCTACAGGGAGACCCTGTCTCAAAAAGACCAAATAATAATAATAATAATAATAATATATAATTTTTTTTTATTTAAACACATTTTGGATAAAAAGAATAGTAATAACAAAACAAAAAAAAAACATTTTTGTGTCCTAGCAACAAACTGTTAGCTATTAAAGTGACTGTGTATCTCAGTTTGGCTGATTAAACCCAAAGAATATAAATTTAATAATTAGACCAACTGGGTTTAAACAGAGCCCTGTCATTTACTAGGTTGTTTGGTTGGTTGGTTTATTGAGACAGGGTCTTCCTATAGCTCCAGCAGGCCTGGAACTGCTATGTAAACCAGACTGGTCTTGATATCACAGAGACCCTCCTGCCTCTGCCTCCCAAGTGCTGAGGTTAAAGATGTAAAGGCATGCACCTAGCTTATTTGCTACATTTTATAAAAGCAAAGATTAAAGGGTTTTTTCTTCTTCTGATCAGTTTCATTATTTTAATAAGTAGATATATAACTATATCTGCATCTCCAAGATTTGTAAGAAAATACACAGAAAGCCTTCTACAGAATAACAATAGCTATGAGGCCTCAGAGATGCCTGCCCAGGTCAGGAGGGTTGTTCCTCCTCTATCCCAGCCTTCCTTCATTCCTTAGTGCGTCCTCTAAGAGAAGCAGAAATGTGCCTCCCCATTTCACAGATGGGAAGTGCCTTGCTGAAGGCCACAATTGAATTCAGTATTTGTACATTTGGTCAGCAACACATGTAGAGGAAGAGAGAACTTTGGTGGGGTTACTTCCTTAGGCTCAGTGGTGGGAGTGAATGAGGACACACCACCCACTGGGCTGTTTTGTTGCAGACATGGACATCCCGCTCCCTGATGAAGTTCTATGCTATGATGGCTGCCTCATCCGCTTCCTGTGAGAACCACAAGATTGCAGAGAGGATTGAACAGAGGATCCTGAACTCTAACCCTATCATGGAAGCTTTTGGTGAGCTCAGCATCTGTTCTCCGATTGTACATCCTCAGGGATTTGCCACCTTCAAGAAGGGCAGTGCTTTAAAATCTCTGTGAGTTGGAGAATGATTATATCCTTCATTACCTGGATTCCAACCTCCTCCCAGACCCCTGTTAGCTTCCTTCCATTAAAGGTGCTTTCGGGCTTGGAATGAGGCTCAGTAGTAGACTACTTGCCTAGCATCTTCAAGACCAAGTGCCACATAGAACTAATGTCATTTGGCACATGTAACAGTGGTCTAAAGAAGACCTAGGCCTCATCTAGTCCAAATCTTATCTTTTCACCTCTCCCTTCAAAGGAGAAAGTCCCCTGACTGCTCATTCCAGTCCCTTATCAGGAATTTCTAACTCTACTGAACCCCATATGCTGACGCCCGTATACCTATTCTCCAGTTCTGAGCTGCATGACAGAACCCAACAAAGGGATCTTTAGGTGTCTGGAGGATAGGGGCATGGGCTCCAGCAGGCTTGCAGCCATAGTGGCCTGTGAGAATTTTGTAAACCTAGAGGTGTGGTATAAACACAGGTGTGATCTCTAGGGAACGCATGTACGCTGAGGAATAACAACAGCAGTCGCTTTGGGAAGTTCATCCAGCTCCAGCTGAACAGGTAATAGCTGCTGCCACTCAGCCCATGGGATAGCAGAGGCAGGGGTTGAAAGCAGCTGGGGCAGTCACTAGCCTGGGCCACCCCCAATGGCAAAGCTTGTGTGTTATGTTTCTTTAGCTCAGTGACTTTTTTAACCTAGAGAACCATAGCTTCTGTGACCTTGACACTAAGCCGGTGTTCTTGTCATACTGGCTTCTGTTCAGAAACTTATTAAAATTGCCTCTTTAAGCCGGGTGTGGTGGCATATGCCTTTAATCCCAACACTTGGGAGGCAGAGACAGGCAGATCTCTGAGTTCAAGGCCAGCCTGGTCTACATAGCGAGTTTCAGGACAGCTGGGGCTACAGAGAGACCCTGTCTCAAAAAGACCCAAAAAAAAAAATTTTTTTTTTTTGAGCTGTAGGCCTGAGCTTGAAGCTAGGGCATGTGTTCCTACCTTGAGATTGGCAATGATAAACAGAGGCATTGTCTATTCCCAACAGAGCTAGATGCTAGAGAATGTCCTAGAATACCCAAGGACATTCTGAGATTTGTTGTTTATTTGAGACAAGGTCTCTCAGCCCAGGTTGGCATCAAACTCACTATGTAGCTAAGGATAACCTTGAACTCCTGATCCTCCTGGCCACCACACTTGGTTATCCAAGGACATTCTTTTTTTTTTTTTAACATTTTATTATTTTTATTTTATGTGTGTGTATGTATTGCCTGCATGTAGGTAAGTGTACCCGTGTCGTGCAGTACCTGCAGAGGACAGAAGAGACTGTTGGATCCCCTGGAACTGGAGTTATGGACAGTTGTTAGCTGCCATGTGGGTACTGGGATTCAAACCCGGGTCTTCTGCAAGAACAGTCAGTGTTCTTATCCACTGAGCCATCTCTCCAGCTCCCTCCCAAGGACATTCTGAATATTCCAACCCAAGTAGGAGACTTGGCAGGGATTTGCTAGGTGGCATTCTGGTGTAGTTAGTGCTGATAAATGGCTATGGAATCAAAGGGTAATAATGAAATCCTACCTATGTGTACCAGAGCCCAGCAGATGACGGGAGCTGCGGTCCAGACCTACCTCCTAGAGAAAACACGTGTGGCCTGCCAGGCCTCCAATGAGAGGAATTTCCACATCTTCTACCAGGTCTGTGTGAGGTGGGACCCACTGTGCCCAGATACAGGACAGGGATGGCTCTGTCTCTCCAGTCGTCATCCCCGACATGCTCCTAGCATGTTCTACACCTGACCCCTTCGCCTGCTTTCCAGCAGAGCTGCTCATCTGGCACAGTTTGGGCCTAGAGGTATATTTTGCCTCTTCTATCAGATCAGAAGGTCCTTGAGGCTGGGATTCTGTCTCTAAATGAAAGTTATAACACTCTCATCAGACTGAGTACTCTTTTAGAATGGAAACTGTCTTCTCCAACAGCATGATAGCTGCCTTGGGCTTATGCCCCTTCCCTAGACTGGCTTCCCCAGGGGCTAGATGGATAGGGCCCCTCGCTCCCAGACGGGGAAGTCTTTAGGTAAGGAGATGTATCTTTCCAGTCAAGACAAGGACTCCCACAGTAAGAGCTGTGCATTCTGCATCAGACCACTGGCTTTCCAAGAGCAGGGTTTTGTTGATGGCTGGAGACATTCAGGACCATGCTGTTTATTTTGCTCCATGCTTGCCCTATTCACTCTTCACCTTATGGTGTTGCTGCCATTTCTCACTCCTCTCCTCCCAGCTCAGCTTCCTGCCCACCCTTTCTACAGATTTGCAAAGGAGCCACCAAGGACGAGAGGCTCCAGTGGCACCTCCCAGAGGGAGCTGCCTTCTCCTGGCTACCTAATCCAGAGAGGACTTTGGAAGGTAGGAGGAGCTACCCAGTACCCTGGACTGCCCAACAGCCCTACCAGTTCTACCCAAGCCTGTCCCCTCACCCCCACTGCCCCTGCTGACCACTGGATTCTTTTCAGAGGATTGTTTCGAGGTGACCAGAGAGGCCATGGTCCATTTGGGCATCGACACCCCCACCCAGAACAACATCTTTAAGGTCAGAAGAAAAGCCACACCACTTACATTTAGAGATTACCATAGCCCTTTTCATGCATTGTTCCTGGACTTGGGACTCTCTTTCCATGGGCTTCTTGGACTTCAGACCCCACCATACCATCTCCAAGAAGCTGGCCACCCCTCTGTGAGGAGCCTGGAAACAGGCACTAGGCTAGACTGGGCCATAGAGACAGTGACACAGCACAGTGCTTGAGTGAAGAGCATGGCACAGTGACCAGAGTGCAAGGGCCTTAGGGCTGATTTTTAGCATGGTGACAAATAGAGAAATAATCTTTTCCTGTTTATCTAACACTTTAAAATATAAAAATTGTGTTAACACTTCTTAGTTTACTTGATTTTATCAAGAGTCTCATGTGGGAAGATTATTTCCATTCTTTATGTTTGAGAAAACCAGAGGTAAAGTAACCTAGGCAAGGTCAGACACCACTAAGTGATGGAGGAAATTTGTTCTAGGCATTATCATTCCAAATGCCCACCTCTCTTCCTCTTCCTCTACCCTATCCTCTACCTCTCCCGCTGGAAGCCCAGTGAACTAGCCTCGCTCATCCACACGGCTGGCTTTTCCCTTCTGCCTTTGCTAATGGCGGACTGCCTCCCTACCACTTCCTTCCTCATCCGTTAGAACAAGGGAAAGGGACAGGTAGGTAAACTGAGAGCAAGGACAGGGAAGCCACTGTGGGAACATGGCAGTGCAGTGGATATTGATGGCCTCCAGATGGGGGCTGCTCAGGAAGATAGGTGTCACACCCAGTATGGACACTGCCAGGTAAGAGCCTGGGTATAACACCACACATGTAAACAAGCCAGTGAGTGAACGACACTAGGAGTCTGTGCATTAGGATGGGATGATCCTTTGCCACAACCATGCTGCCCATTGGACACATCTCTTCTGGAGTAGATTGGAGCCAGAAGACCAGTAGCATATCGAGATTCTCTGCCTGGGACCAGACAGCAGAGGCAGGAGAGGCCCTGCTCTCTTAGTATGTGGTCCAAAGGTTTCCAAAGTTGCTGTGTCTGCAAGGGATTCTCCTTTCTGTAGCCCCTGGGGAGTTGCCCATATAAATCATTAAGGCAAAGGCAGAAGGGTGACACTAACTATAGAGACCAAGATCACAAGTCTTCCCTTAGGCGGGGCCATCAGAACCAAAAGTACTGAGAATGGGCCTCAGGGAGCCAGAGCCAATCCTCAGCAGACAAGTGACCCTGGCCCATAGCCAGCAGGAACAGTGCTCCCAATTGATCTGTTCCTAAAGAGAGGTGATGAGTGGGCATGGGGCCTACTGGCTGCCCTGGGAGACATCTGAAGTCCAGTTGCTTGGGCTCTAATCCTGCCTTTTTCGTGGGCTTAAGATGTACCTCTCCCATCTCTGTCATGGGCATCAGAGATAGACACAGTGGGGCAGTAATCAGGAGTTCCCTCCTTGCTCTGTTGTGACTTCAGCAGAAGGACTTCCTCTTCAAATCTCCTCTTGACCATTCTTTCTGCCCCCTCAGGTCCTAGCTGGACTATTGCACCTTGGCAATATCTGGTTTGCTGACTCAGAAGACGAAGCCCAGCCCTGCCAACTGATGGATAATGCCAAGTGTGAGGGGCAAGGATGGGAGGAAGGGGTGGCCCCGACAGGAAAGTGACCCATGTTGGTTCGCTGAGGTAGGAGGTTGGCGGGTGAACATTTCAATCTGCCACCTTTAGGCTAGGTGTGGTGGCTCATACCTTTAATGCTAGTACTCTGGAGGCAGAGGTCAGTGGAGTCTCTGTGAGGTTGAAGCCAGCCTGGTCTACTTAGTGCGTTCTAGACCAGGTAGGGTTACAGAGTGAGACCCTGCCTCAAAAAAGAAAGAAAGCACCACCAATCTTCCACCCTTGATTCAGTCATCTACTGTGGAGCCTGTGGTGGAAATTTATTCCTCACCCTCTTTTGTGAGGCAGATACTGTTGTCTCCATCTTACAATGAATCCCAAATATAACAGGGTGGATTCAAGTCCTGCCTCTGCCACTTAGGGAGGCTAGTCTCCAGCCATCAGAACCTGGGTTTCCTCTATCCACTTGGGCTATGCCTTCTCAGTGTCTCATGGGAGGACTGTTCTGATGAAGGATGTTTGCTTAAGGAAGACTCCCCTCTCTCAGACTCTGTCAGGACAACAGCCTTACTGCTGCAGCTCCCTGAGGACATACTGCTGGAGACACTGCAGATTCGAACCATCAGGGCAGGCAGGCAGCAGCAGGTGTTCCGGAAGCCCTGCTCCCGAGCAGAGTGTGACACCCGCAGAGACTGTCTGGCCAAACTGATCTATGCACGGTGGGTGATTACTCTGGGCCTTGCCTTCCCCATAAGTTCTTAGCCTCTCAGAGGTTGGACTAAGCACTGTCAGGCAACAGATGCAGGCCCAAGGTGGAGGAGGCTGGATAAAGCAGGTCAGTTGCGAGGACCTCAGGAGACAGCAGGACATAGCTCTTAGGTTTGCCCAAAACAATACCTTTGGCTTGTTCCTGTATTGAGTGGAGAACTTGCCACATTCTGACCTAGATTCAGCTAATTAGTCAAGTATAGGAGCCTGCTTTGACTTTGGCAATAGGTGAGCAAAGCTTGGTCAGTTCTCCATTGACAAAGCAGACCCCAAAAGTGAACTCGCAGTCCCAGGTTCAAACTATTGGTGGATAGGCTCCTCTATCTCCTGTATCTTGGTATATAAGGCCTTTAGGTCACTCACCTGGAAAGTTGGATAGATGATGGTGGAGCCAGAGGTTTTGCCCAGTCAACCGGCAGCAACATACAACAGGTAAGGGGGTCTGGCCCCTTTCTTGAGGCATTATATGAGTACCTCCACCCTCTGGCCATGTGGTCAAGGATCATCTTACCTTAGATTCTGAGAACCTTCAGCTACCTTGTAAAGGCCATCAGGAGCCCAAAATCTGATATTATGGGATGACCATCATATATATGTGTACATGTGGGACCTTGGACAGCCTTGTTTAGAGCAAAGGGTCTAAGAAGCCCTGCCTGAGATCATGTCAACAAGAAACTTAGGTACTACTTCAAAGCAGATTGTAAATCTTGTTTTTTTTTTATTTTATGTGTACATGTGTATTGCCTGCGTGTTAGATAAGTGCACCCGTGTTGTGCAATGACAGAAGAGATTGCCGGATCCCCTGGAACTAGAGTTACCAACAGTTATTAGTTGCCATGTAGGTGCTGGGATTTGAACCCAGGTCTTCTGCAAGAGCAGCCAGTGCTCTTAAAGGCTGAGCCATCTCTCCAGCCCATAGAGCAATCTTTTTGTGCATATGTGTCTGTATAATTGTATGCTACATATGTTCCAGTACCCTTGGAGCCCAGAAGAGGATATAGCTTAGACATGGACTTATAAGTGGTTGTGAGCCTCCATGTGGGTGCTGGGAGCTGAACCCAGGTCCTCTGGAAGAGTATTGAGTGCTCTTAACTACTGAGTCATTTCTCAGGCCTGTTTGGTTTATTTTATTTAATTTTATTTTTGAGACAAGATCTCACTATGCATCCCTGGCTGGCCTAGAACTCAATATATAGACCAAGCTGGCCTCAAACTCATAGATCCCCCTACCTCCTCCTGAGTGTTGGGATTAAAACAATCAAACAGTTTTTTTAATTTTTATTTTATGTGTATGTATGTATTGCCTGCATGTGTGTAAGTGCACCCGTGTCATGCAATGCCCACAGAGGACAGAAGAGATTGTCGGATCCCCTGAACTGGAGTTATGAACAGTTGTTAGCTGCCATGTGGGTACTGGGATTCAACCTGGGTCTTCTGCAAGAACAGTCAGTGTTCTTAACTGCTGAGCCATCTCTCCAAGCCCCAGTCAAACAATTCTTAAGCCTGTGTCTACAAGTTAATAAAAAATTTAACAGAGAAAGTACAACAGAGATAGAACAGGCTTCTAGCCATAGAATATTTTACACATGGAAACGATCAGTCATGTAACACCAGTTTGTTCATTTTAGTATCTTGCTTGAGTGTTTGAAGCTCCTGTTGCAAAGACAAGAAAAGAATATCTACTGAATTTAAAACCAGTTACAGAACAATTACTTAAAGGAAAATTATGTTAGGAATGATGGCACATCTATAATCCCAGCATTCTTTTGACTGAAGCAGAACTCCTAGTCCATACCAGGCTCTATACGTGAGCCCTGTCCTCTTCCTTTGCTGGTGGGAGGAAAGGAAAAGAGAAAGAAGCAAAGTCCCTAAGCAATGTTAGTACTTGTTACCAAATTGGTGTAGCAGCCTCCTCTTCTCTGGGTTAGTGGTAGTTCCACAATAGGGGATGCCATTGTCCTTGTGACTTGAGGCCCAGTTGTGAATGATTGAGTGGGATATAGCAGAACCTTAAGCCTTTCACAGGGAAGTCAGTGAACACAGCCCCTTAAAAACCCTACTGGGACCTGCCAACAGCCCCTTCTAGTCATAACGGCCATATGACTAATGCAGACTCATGGAGCCTAAACTGGTCCTGTGCTATTTTACTGGGAGTATAGGCCAGGTCTGTGTATATGCATTCCCAGAGTTGCCTCTGTAGTAGATCATGTTAGAAACAGGATTTAGCCTTTGGCCTGGTAGACTCAGAATACAGGGCCCTCCAGTGTGTAGCACCCTGGGTAGGAAAAGTTTCACTACCCCCAGACCCAGCCTGAGCCCTTTTACCACATCCCATTCTCTTCCTGCCAACAGGCTGTTCGACTGGGTGGTATCGGTGATCAACAGCAGCATCTGTGCAGACTCTGACTCATGGACTGCCTTCATAGGTAGCAGGGCCTCACCTGGCCAGGAGCCCTCCAGAAAATGAGCAGTTGAACCCTGCATGAAGCAGCAGGATCCCTGGGTCCCCTGTGTGACTCTGAGCAAATCCTTTTCCTTCTCTGCCTGCCTCCTCTTCATCTATCTACCAGGGTTTGGGCAAGATTTCTACACTTGACTGCTCACATCTGGCCTGTCCATGGTTCTCCTGATAGATCAGATGATGCCTTGTCCCCAACAGCTCTTTTCCTCCTGGATACCCAGCTCTAGTCTTAGGAAGATAGTATGGGATGGGTGAAATAGCTAGATGGGAAGACAGAGCTGTCAGTGTTGGTGAGTCCATCAAATGGGAAAGGAAGTAAAGACTAGAGGTGCCAGCACAATGTGCTCATGGAAGGACATGAGGTAGGCTGGTGAGATTGAAGCCTTCCAAACTAGATGACATAGAGTCTGTTCCCTGGTATTGCATAGAATTGAGTTGGTATCCTCAAGGAGGAACCTATTAGGACCAGAGGATTCAGACTCAGGTGGGCTTTTAATGCCCTGTGCTAAGCTTTAGATCTTTGGCTTTATAAGCCTGCTCTGAAGAGGGTATGGGGAGAGGGATAGGAACCACTTGAGTGTGTGGGGAACGTACTCACTCAGCCTCATCCCTGGGCTGCCAACTCAGGCCTCAGCAAGGGCCCACCACCTGGGCTCCTGTCATCACCACCACCCCACGATGGCTCCACGGTTCTCTCCCATCTTTGCAGGCCTGCTGGATGTATATGGGTTTGAGTCATTTCCTGACAATAGTCTGGAACAGCTGTGCATCAACTATGCCAATGAGAAGCTACAACAGCACTTTGTGGCTCACTACCTCAGGGCGCAGCAGGTAAGAGGTAGGGCAAGGCAGGGTTGTCTTTTTGGATCCTCTTGCCTCTTCCTAGCCCACAGTCCAGCCCAGTTCTGACTAGACACCTTTATCTTTATTTTATTAATTGTTAAGTAATGACTATATGTAGATGTGTTTTGATATACCTTTGTTCCTTTAATGCTATTCTGGAACAAGCCTTCTTCTACCCGACCCCCACCTCCTAGGAGGAATACACAATTGAGGGCCTGGAGTGGTCATTTGTCAACTACCAGGACAACCAAACCTGTTTAGATCTCATCGAGGGGAGCCCCATCAGCATCTGCTCCCTCATAAATGAGGTAAGTTCAGCTAGTAAGCTGAGCACCAGAGTTGATCTCTGGGCTTTTCTGGGGCCTTGGTGACTGTTACCTGTTAGTCTCTTTTTCTCCTCTCTCTCTCTCTCTCTCTCTCTCTCTCTCTCTCTCTCTCTCTCGTGACTGTTACCTGTTAGTCTCTTTTTCTCCTCTCTCTCTCACTCGCTCGCTCTCTTGCTCTCTTCCCCTCCCCCCACACTTCCTTTTCCCTTCCCTCCCCCATCTGCAAATGGGTATGCTAATCCTTCTCTTCTTGGGGTCACTATGGTACTGTGATGCCCGTGTTACAACTCTGCTGCCATTGGATGGTGAAGGTTGTGGTAGGACCTCATTTTTGTGCCAACTGCCGACTCCCACCCCACAGGAATGCCGCCTTAATCGACCAAGCAGCGCAGCACAGCTACAGACACGCATTGAGAGTGCTCTGGCAGGCAGACCCTGCCTGGGCCACAATAAGTTCAGTCAGGAGCCCAGTTTCGTGGTAGTACATTTTGCAGGACCTGTACGGTACCACACAGCAGGCCTGGTGGAAAAGAACAAGGTGAGGCCTGGGCCATGGTATGTGAGGGGTCCTGAGTGAGACAGCTGAATCACTGCTGCATGCATATAGTAGTTTCTATCAGACATTATCTTCTTCCTGAGTGTCCTTCCAATCCAAGCTAACCCTCTTTGTTCTGCCTGAGATCTGCTGATCAAGCCTGATCTGCCTGAAAGTGTTAGACTGGGGCTGGGTTTCTTCTTGCCAACACTTCAGCCCTGCCCTCTCAGGAAGCCTTGTACTTGAGTAGGAGTGCCGGCTAGTGGACAGCACTGGGAAACAGCCTACCCGCCCTCACCTACCTGCTGCTAACTTTGCCCTTTCCCACTAGGACCCTGTTCCCCCTGAGCTGACTGGGCTTCTGCAGGAATCCCAAGACCCCTTGCTCATGATGCTGTTTCCTGCTAACCCCAAAGAGAAGACCCAGGAGGAGCTCACTGGCCAGAGCAGGGCCCCTGCATTGACTGTGGTGTCCAAGTTCAAGGTGGGTCTGGTGGTGCCAATGTAAGGTACTTAGTTCACTCATCCACTTCAAGTGTTTATTGGGTGCCCCTTAGGATTGGGGCTGTTGTTAGGGAGCAGTGTATCAGTGATGTATTATCAAGTAGAAATGGTCTTGGACTATAAAGTTTATGTTTCAATGTAGAAGTTATGCTTCAATGTAGAAGACAGGGAACAGACAGGGACCACAGGGTATAATAATAATATGGGGGAGGGGGAGAGGCTTTCACCCTCTGCGGATAAGGGGTGGTCACAGGAGAGCAGCACTTACATTAACCTGTGGCTGGACCCTGCCCAAACCATGTCCTTGGCTGGACCAGACTGGCTACTTCTCTTAGTACTAACTGCAATTTTTTTGCTGTCTTCCTTGCACATACTACTCACCTTCCTAGGATTTCTTGACCCATGGCTCTTCAATTCCCATTTCTCCTACCTTCCCTGTCACTTCCTTTAATTGTTCAGCTCAACTGTTAACCCTGCGGTACCATAACCCTGAAAGGGGCCCCCTAAGAAACCTAGATTGATTAGCTGATGAGTACTATACAACTGTAGTTCAAACACCCCTGTCAGGGCCTGCTTATCACACATGTGACCCCTCACACTCAGTTCTAACTCAAGCAAACTGTCTGAGTCACAGCCCTCCAGCACACAGGGAAGACTTATGAATGGACCAACAGGGTGTAATGTGAGACTGTTCCGTGAGAAGACTGAGACCAGGGGATCAGTCAGGTGAGAACCACTGGTCCAGAAGCATTCTCTGAGAAAGGGTAAGAAGTAGTGGATAGGCAAAATGTGCTTTGAGCATGTTCCCTAAGAACTTCCAGTAGACCCCCAAGGTATATTTGGGTCCTGGTCTCAAGGCTGGGAAGGCCACCAGTGGCTTTTTATTTTTCCATTTTATGTGTATTCATGTATTGTCTGCATGTAGGTAAGTGCACTCGTGTCATGCAATGGCCATGGAGGTCATAAGAGGCCATCGGATCCCCTGGAACTGGAGTTATGGATAGTTATTAGCTGCCATGTGGGTGCTGGGATTCGAACCCGGGTCTTCTGCAAGAACAACCAGTGTTCTTAATCACTGAGCCATCTCTCCAGTCCCACCAGTGGCATTTTATATAGTTACTAATCGGGGTCCAGCTTATGACCACAAGCTCCCCTAACCCTGCCTAACTCTACATTTCTCCATCTGCAGGCCTCACTGGATCAGCTCCTGCAGGTCCTACACAGCACCACCCCCCACTACATTCGCTGCATCAAGCCCAACAGCCAGAGTCAGCCACAGACTTTCCTCCAGGAGGAGGTAGTTAATCCTGAGCCACAGCTGCTATGCCCTGTCTGGCCAAGGCCTAGAAAAACCAGTAAACATCTCCAAATGGAGTGACCATAGGCAGTCCTTTGGGCTGGGCCTGACTTAAGGAGGGCTTATTTCCCTTCCTTGGCAGTGCAGTCCTTGTGGATCTGTGCTCTGTGCAAGGAGGATATGGGGGCTCCAGTACATCTCTGCTCACCAAGCCATACTCCCTAACAAGAAACTGAAGCTGCCCATGGGAATGGGTGTTTTATGATTTGCTCAAAGTCTGTCCAGTCCCAGTGCAGCACAGCCATTTCTGAACTTGAGATCTCATTTTCTTTCTTTCTTTTTTTGGTTTTTTTGAGACAAGGCCTTCCTGTAGCCCAAGCTGACCAAGAACTTACTATGTAGACCAGGCTGGCCTTGAACTCACAGAGATCCACCTGCCTCTGGCTCCTGAGTGCTGGGACTAAAGATGTGCACCACCACACCCAGCTTGAGATCTCATTTTCTGATTTGCACAAAAGCATTCTCAGGGTTATAGATTCTGAGGAGATGTGGATGAGGTGTGGAAGTACTGGACAGCACTGAAAAGTGTCCCACAGCCACCTGGCAAATATGACTGTATCTAAGACAACTAGGCTGTGTGGTAAAGTTCTGGGTTCAAATTAAGAAAGACTTCACAATATTCCCTGCCCTTCAGCTTGAACAACTCTGGTGCCTGAGAAAAATAAGCAGCTCTGCATTGTAAGGTGGTATTAGCCCTGGGGAAGTAAAAGACAGAGCCAGGACCATTGCTGGCCTCAGCTATATCAGGAACCAGGCACCAGACAGGGCCTTTGAACCACCAGGACCCATTCTAGCAGAGAAATTTTCTAGGATCCCTTGGTTTTTCATGGCCTCATAGACAGCTCTGTCAGTTAAGCCTGCCTCTCACTGGGGCCAGACAAGGACAGAAGGAGTGGCATTTCTGGCTTATAAGAGCCTGTTTGTCTCCCCTTGCAGGTGCTGAGCCAGTTGGAGGCCTGTGGCCTTGTGGAGACCATCCACATCAGTGCTGCTGGCTTTCCCATCCGGTAAGTGAACCACATTGCCATGGGGTCAAGGGCCAGGGTTGGGTGGGGTTCAGAACTTGGGCCAGGTGGCAGGAGGTAGAGATGTGGCAGTCTACTTGGAAGGCAAGAGTAGCACTGATGTATTCAGTCACTCATTGGGCAGTCTGCCATTGTAGGGCCTACATTCCTATGAAAACAAGGAAAGTGTGATCAAGACGTGGTAGCACATACCTGTGATCCCAGAATTTGGGAGGCTGAGGCAGCAAGATTGACAGGAGTCTAAAGGGAGTTTGGGCTACCTTTAGGGTAATTCAAGGCCAGCCTAACTAGAATGAGACTCTGTTTCAAAAATCCAAAAAGTGGTGGGAGGGGGCAGCAGCTGGAATAAAGACTGGAGAGATGACTCAGTGGTTAAGCATGATGACATACACCTTTAATTCCAGCACTCTGGAGGCAGAGGTAGCCAGATGTCTGTGAGTTTGAGACCACTTGGTCTACATAGTGAGTTCCAGGCCAGCCAGGGTTACATAATGAGACCATATCTCAAAAATAAAAGAACACATACTGCTCTTGAAAAAGATTCAAGTTGGGTTCTAACACCTATGTTGGGTAGCTTACAACTTCAGCTCCAGGGAGATCTACAACCTCTAGCCTCTATGGGCACATGTACATACCCACACGTGGACACATAATTAAAAATAATAGGTGCTGGAGAGTTGGCGCAGCAATTAAGAGCATTAGTTGTTCTTCTAGAGGACCCAGGTTTGGCTTCCAGCACCCATGTGGCAGCTAACACCCACCCATAACTCCAGTTCCAAAGAATCTGACATCCTCTTACTGTCCTCTGAGGACGTTGCATAACATGGGTACTCTTACATACATGCAGGTAAAACACTCATAAAACAAGCATGTATGAATCAAAAAAAATTTTATTAATAATATCTTTTTTTTTTGGTCTTTTTGAGACAGGGTCTCCCTGTAGCCCCAGCTGGCCTGGAACTCACTATGTAGACCTGGCTGGTCTTGAACTCACAGAGATCCGCCTGCCTCTGCCTCCTGAGTGCTGGGTCTAAAGGCGTGCACCACCAAATCTTTTTTTTAAAGAGGGCCAAGGAGATGGCTCATTAGGGACACTCATGAGCACCTGAATTTGGTTGTTCTGCATTCATATAAAAAGCCAGCTGTGGCAGTGTGCATCTGTAATCCAAATGCTGGGAGGTGGAGACAGGAAGATCATAGCCCAGCCAGTCTAAACAATCACTGAGTTCCAGGTTCAATAAGAAACTCTGTCTCAAAAAGTAAGGTAGAGGGGCTGGAGAGATGGCTTAGTGTTTAAGAGCACTGACTGCTCTTGTAGAGGACCTGGGTTCAATTCCCAGCACCCACATGGTGGCTATGAACCGTCCTTAACTCCAGTTCCAGGGGAATCCGAAGCGATCTTCTGACCTCCACAGCATTGCATGGCACGGGTGCACTCACATACATGCAGGCAATACACTCATACACATTAAAAAAATAATTAAAATATTAAAATAATAATAATAATAAGGTAGAGCCAGGTATGGTGATGCGCGCCTTTAATCCCAGCACTTGGGAAGTAGAGGCAGGCAGTTCACTGTGAGATGGAGGCCAGCCTGGTCTACATAGCGAGTTCCAGGCCAACTGGAGCTACAGGGCCTCAATAATAGTGTGGAGAATGATAGAGGAAAACGTCAATGTTGACTTAAGGCTTCTGCAGATACAAACACAGGTATATGCACGTGCACATACATGCATATATACACAGATAACACACAGAAAAGTATAAACTAGTGCTAGGAAATTTCTTTAGGCATACAGGGAAAGAATCTGTGGGCTGGTGAGGGAGGAGCCTTCTGAGCAGTGCAGGCCTAGGGAAGGGGAAGGGACCAGCCAGAGGCAGGGAGGAGGAATTGTGGGAAAAGAATAACCTATCAGGTTAGGAAATGAGATGCTGAGTGATGGCCACAGAGAAGCTGCAATGAGGAAGGCAGGTGGTTTGTCCTGAGTGCAGTGGAAGCTGCTGGCCTGAAGAGGGAGTGGTGATATCTCATTCATATTCTCAGAACATCTATGTGGCCTGCATGATGAAAGGCTGTTGGAGGTGTGTAGGAGGCAGGGTCCGCTTTGAAAACTGGGAAGCAATGTTGGAAATTGGGGTATGGCTCATACCAGAAAGAGGATTGGATGAGTTACAGAGTCAGGCTTGGGGTTCAGGGAACACTCGGCTCTCAGATTGGAAAAGCAGCTTCCTGGATTCTAAGGCAGATGGATAAATCAGGACAATTTACCAAAATAGGTTAGTCTAAGGGAAGCCCAGATTGGAGGGCAGAAGGAAAAGGAAACTGGGGGTCAGGAATTCTCCTCTGACTCTGGCAGATTTAAGAAGTCTCTGAGACAGAGCTCAGCAGAGCTTTAAGAACTAGATAGGCAGCCAGGCATGATGGTGCATACCTTTAATCCCAGCACTTGGGAGGCAGAGGCAGGTGGATCTCTGAGTTCGAGGCCAGCCTGGTCTACATAGCGAGTTCCAGGCCAGCTGGGGCTACAGACAGACCTTGTTTTAGAGAACTGGATAGACATGTAAGGTCCTTCCTCCATGGGTTTTAGCACCCCCAGCAAGATATGTCATGCCCTCTGTGTGGAAGTCAGAGGAAACTTGTGAAAATCTTTTCTCTCCTACCCTGTGGGTCCTGGGGATCAAATTCAGACCATCAGGCTCAGTGACGGGCACCTTTACCTACTGAACCATCTTGTCAGCCATAGACTATTTAAAATGATATTTGCAGGCTTCCCACTGAATGGCCCTGGTAATCTCTACAACATATCTTCCTTCATTCAGTAAGGATAGTCAGTACAGTGCTGGCTTTGGGCTCAAGCTAGGTACCCAGCTCACAAAGTCATTCTCTTTCTGCCTGTTTTGGTTTCCAGGGTTTCTCACCAGAACTTTGTGGAACGATATAAGTTACTGAGAAGGCTCCATCCTCACTCATTCTCTGGCTGCCACAGTCTCTATCTTGCCAAAGGTCCTTCTGGTGAGTGGGCCCTATTGTTAGTCATTTGTTTAACCACAGGTTACTAAGGACCTATCTGTGTCCACTCAGGGCTGGGGGTTCCAAGATTAATGGTTCTTGATCCATAGTGGGTACTAAACCCCCAGATGACAACTCTGTAGCAAGACTGAGTTGTGACTAATACTGGGGAGCTACGGCTCAGAGAAGCCTTCCGAACAAGGTAACACATAGGGATAAACTGGATTAGCCAGACCAACCATTGCACATGATAGGGGTAAGTTGAACAGAGGCTTCCGGGCATGAGACAGCAGGGTGGATGTGAGGGAGTACCAGTGTTGCTAGTACACCAGGACAGTAGTGGTCAGTAAGGGTGAGATGTCAGGAAAGAAACATGGACTTTATTCCCTGGGCAGATGAGGTTGTATTGCAGGAGAGAGCTGCCTGCTTTATGCTTTCGGCCACCCTAGGGGCCTTATGGAAGGTCTTGGGTATGAAGCTGTGGAGCTGTCCAAATGGAGAAGCCAGAAGTGTGGGCGGTTGGGTAATATGTGGAAGAAATCAGTTAGCTTTGGTAGGCATGACTCAGTACAGAGGGAGAGGAAAGGAGAAAGTGAACTCAGACTTGCCAGTGGGAGGAGGAAGGTCTGGGAAGGTCTGGGGAAGCTGAAGAACCAGCCCTGCGTGGCCAACCTGAGCTCCAGGTCCTGGGAGGCATCAAGGTGAAACAAATACAAAGCACTTAGACAAAGCCATAGCCTGTGACTGTTATTCAGAGTTAGATAGTGTATAGCTATTCATAGCTAAGGCTCTGAGTATTAAGGTTCAGGGACAGGTGGAGGGGCACAAGGCCAAACTGTGGCCTTAGCCCAACCACAGCTGCTTCCCACCCACCTGGCCCTCCTATGGGCCATCAGCTAGCTCTTTTCCTTTTGGGTAGTTGTGTCACTTTCCTTTCCCCTCTCCCTTTCTTTCTCTTCTTTTCATGGTTTGTTCTCCTGTCTCTTACCAAGCCCTTCTGGGCCCTGGTTGATCTTGTGGATGTCTCTCAACTCCTGCATCTGTTTTGGTGGTCTCTGTCTCCAGAAAGGGGCTGGGCAGCTAACCGTGGTCAGAGCCCTCAGGTAAATCCTCGTGCACAGGAAGCAGCCCAGCAAGACATGGGAGGATAAGAGTGGGACCTGCGAGGCTTTCACATGGCTGGGATTTGTTTTCCCTTTTCCATGTGACAGACTATTAGGGGTGGGGCTGAGGGAGTGGCCAAGCAGCCTAGGATTCCCTTTTCCAGGCATCTAGTCCTCCTTGCCAACCTGTCCAAAGGGACACGTGGCAGACACTCCAACCAGCCAAGACTCTGGGGGACACAAACAGGCTACCTCTACCTCTTCCACACAAAGGGGAGGAGGAAGAAACGACTAGATGCAGAACAGCAGGAAAAAGGCTTAGCAAGTGCTGGGGAGACCATAGCCAGTTTCTTAAGGCTACAGAAAGCACTTAGAGATGACAGACACTGATGAAGCCTCTCCCACCCCAGAGTGGCCTCTGTATACCCAGGAGGCTGCACTGCAGCCACTACTCCAGGACATTCTCCACACTCTGCCAGCTTTAATTCGGATAGCAGCCACTCCCAATGACCCCGCTGAGGCCACACAAGTCCCCTTGTACTGTGGCAGGACCAAAGTGTTCATGACTGACTCCATGGTAAGCTAGTTGGGGGATGAGATTCAGGTGCCATCCACGACTGTGGGCCCTCCTCAGGGTAGGGGGAGGAGAGGCTGAGGACCTCAGTGGTTGCCCCTTCTCTCAGCTAGAGCTTCTAGAATGTGGGCGTGCCCAGGTGCTGGAGCAGTGTGCCCTCTGCATCCAGTGTAGCTGGAGGCGACACCGTCTCCGAAAGCAGGAGAGACAGAGGCGAGCTGCAATGCTCATTCAGGCAGGTAAGTAGGTCCCGGCCACCTGTCGGTGAAGCAGGCTCCACATGATGCATGTGAGCCAACATATTCTTAACAGTCTTATTTTGAAAAAATGAAAATACTAGAAGCCAACCCAATGCCAGGTGTGGTGGCACATGCCTGTGACCCCAGCACTCCGGAGTCAGAGGCAGGAAGATCTCAAGTTTGATGCTAGTCTGGGCTTCAAGTTTGATGCTAGTCTGGGCTACATAGCAAGACTCTGTCTTCAAGGGGGAAAAGAGGGGCACCTTTTGTGGTACTATAGATCAAACCCAAGGTTTCTCTTATGCTGGGGAAGTACTATACCACTGAGCTATGCATCCAGCCAAACCAAATGATTATAACCCAAATCCTACTTGTCCCTGGGTATTGCTGAGGACTGAGATGAGGTGGGTGGCAGCCCTGCTGAGTCCTTGCTAGCCAGAGCCCCCAGGCATTCCTTCAATGTGCACCTGTCTGCAAATGTATGAGCAGTCAGGAGTGATTTTGAAAGCCCATTTTGCCATACATATTGACATAGCTGATCAATAGAAAAACATATTTCATACTTTCCCATCGACTCTGGTGTTGGCCACAGAGCTAACAGCTCTAAAGGCTTTGTTATCTCTGCTGTTTCCTTAGCCATTCGGTCCTGGTTAACTCGGAAACATATCAGAAGGCTGCATGTAGCTGCCACGGTCATCAAGCGTGCATGGCATAAGTGGAGAGTGAGTATTGTGGAGAAGTCAGCGGCAGTGAGTTGTGGGCTTCTGACTGACCTGAGAGAGCATGCCTCTGCCCCTGTGATATGGGGGAGTTGGCAAGCCATGCAGCCTTGTGTCCTATACAAGATGGGCCCGAGGTAGCTCCACTACAGGGTGATGTGAAGGTAGAACAAATTGTACACTTTAAAAGCCTGAGCTCAGTTGTATCTCACAGTAGCATAGATGATGTTTAGGCATAGCTGCCTTATATTCTGCCACATGGAACCAGTCTAGTTCATTCATCACAGCCAAAGGCCTGCACCTTATCAAGCTGATCATTTTCCATTAAAAGAGCTAGGCAAGAGCCAGTAAGATGTTTCTGTGCATAAAAAGATGCTTGCTGCCAAGCCTGATGACCTGAGTTCGACCCAAGACCTGCACTGTACGAGAATACCAATACCCAAAAGCCATCCTCTAACCTCTGCATGCATACCATGGCACATGCATGCCCACACACATATAAAAATAAATAAATTTATTTTTTAAGAAGGCAACTACCCTAGAGAGATGGCTCAGCAGTTGAGCACACTCTTGCAGACCTATGTCCAGTTCTCAGCACTCACATGGGGGCTTACAACCTTCTATAATTCCAGGGGATCCAAAACCCTCTTCTGACCTCTGCAGGCACCAGTCATGCACATACATATATGCAGGCAAAACACTTAAACAAACATAATTTTTTTAAAAAAAAGAGGGCTAAGTTAGAGAGATGGCTTAGCAGTTAAGAGCACTGGCTGCTCTTGCAGAGGACCTGGGTTTGGTTCCCAACACCCACATGGCAGCTAACAACCATCTATAACTATAGTTCCAGGGGATCTGACGCCCTCTTCTGGCCTCCACGGGCATTGCACAGCAGGGGTACACATATACATGCAGGCAATACACTCATACACATAAAGCAGGCTAGACAAACCTAAACTGTGTTTTCTGTTTAAGATCAGAATGGCCTTCCTTGCCTCTAAAGAACTGGATGATGTGGAGGAAAAACCAAGACCTCAAGCTCCCGGCTCCCAGAGCTTCTCACTGCCTCCAGCACAGAGGGGGCTCCTAGGGGCAATAATACACCTCTGGCCCTTGGGACTGGTACTAGCCAACTCAGCTGTGGGTGTCCAGGGCTTTCAGAGAAAACTGGTAGTCCATGCCTGTCTCCGGCTTCCCTCAGGCAGCCCCAGTAACATAATCCAGACTCCTCAACAACACCAGGCTGGTGTCACATCCATCAGAGCAGTGCCTCAGGTATGTTTTGTGATCACATGGTAGTGCTCTGACAGCTCCAGCCAGGAGCCCATACCTCACTGGGGAAGGCAGGGAGCAAAGCTTGGGCATCTGTAGGGGAGCAGCATGCAGGCTGAGACAAGACTTTTCCCAACCCTGCTAGGTAAGCCAGAAACTGCAGGTATGGTTTGTTTTCTATTAAAAACTAGGAATCTTCTAGAGCACTCACCTTTAAAAACTGTCTATGAGTTTTGAGTGTTTGGCTCCACCTCTGTAATACAAGAGCCTAAGAAAGGTGTGCAGCCACTCAGCCTGGTGTCTTCCCCTACCAGGTGGACAAAGGCAGCACCCCTGTGGGGTGGGTGCAAACAGAAGTGACATTTTTAACTCTAGGAACATGACCCTTATCATGAATCCCTCTTTAGAAAAATTAGTGTGGCCATAATTCATCATCTCAGATGACACTATTTGACCTAGTACGTGGGGCCAGAGAAAAGTGAAATTGACACGTCACTATGTAATCTGTATAAAATCTCCCTTAAAATTTACAGGGTGTAAACAGAAGTTTAAGTGTTCTGATCTTCTAGGTATAAGCAGTTAGGGTGTGACTGGTGGTACCCCTAGACTTGGAGGCTCCTAGTCATTCTGTCTCCTATGTATAACTTTGGCTTCTACCACTGTCTTAAAGTAAGAAGCCTTCAACTTCCTGCTATTGCCCTCAGACACCAGCTGTCCACTTGCTTTTTCTGAGGTGTCTTTAGACCTCAACACTCATGCACTGCACCTCTATCTCCTTAGGGCTCGATAAAGTTTCATTGCAGAAAGTCTCCACTTCAGTATGCTGACATCTGCCCTGAATCTTCATCCTCTGGTGTTACTGGTCTCAATCAGATTCTGCTTGAAAGACACAGGCCAACCCACGTGTGACCTCTTCTCACCTTCTGCCCCCAACCTTTAGTGGTGATCTTTAGTGCCTTTGTTTCAACAAGGCCTTTTCCTGCCAGCTGCCTTGCCAAAGATACGTGATCAACACACAACTGCCAAACTATTCCCACAGTGATTCCAATTGCACATGCCAGCATCAGGGCCATGCCTCAAGCACTGGCAGGATGTCAGGGTTGGGAGTTACCAAGCCAGGATTAGAGCCACAAACTACCCAGCTTACTACCTTGAGGCTCAGGCCCAAATGTGACTGTCCATCCTAGAATGTTTTCACTACAGTGGGATGGAGTCTCACTCATCCACACACACTTTAGAAACACACACTTTAGAAAGGGGCAAATCACCCTAAAATCATCTCTAGAATTTTGGTTGGGGAAAACCTCGCATATAGCTCATTAAAGGAACAAAACTTTAGTATTTAATAAGTTTGATTTATTTAATGTAATTTCAAAGAATTGGATTAGGAACCAAGGACAATGAACAGTGCACCACACCTTGAATTTACTTAGTAACACTATCTGTTTTTAACTTGAGTGGGTATAAACTTGGTATTTATGATGTATATCTGAACTGTACAAAAGTAAAATATTTTAAAACCACCACATGAATAGCCAGTTTTCTTTTCGTAAAGACTCTGCATCTTGAGTATCCCCACTGCCTGAAACAGTGTGATGGAGGAACCCCTCAGAAACCAGGCAGCTACGTGGGACACCATCTCCCCTGCTTAGATGCATACTTCCTGGCCTCCTGGGAGGAGCAGTAGGCAGGTCCTGAAATCAAGCATGTGCATGAGCACTGATTCATTTTAAGAATCCTCAACCTGGGAAGGTTCCACGATTCTTAAACAGCAGTCCGCAAACTCCACAAATAAAGGCTCCTGCATGTAGGCCTTCATTAGCTTTGCTTTGTTGTCTCCCTGATCAAGATTGACCATCAACTGCCTCAGGTGTGGATTGAGCAGTAGGCTTCTTAAAGTTGCAGATTCACCTTAAACATCAACAAAGCTAGTCTTAAGTTCATGGCAGTGGCTAAAAGCTAAATTTATAATGTAATCTATCAAGGTTTTACATTTAACCATTATACAATCACCCCGTTACAGACTCTAGGAACAACCACATATCAAGAACTACCAAATGTGGACATTTTTCCTTATTCCAACTATTTACATTGAATTAGGTACTGTAAATAACCTAAGAAATGACTTAAAGTATATGCACTGATTATAAAGGGCATGGTGGTGCATGTCTATAGTCCAGCACTGGGGAGGCAGAGGCAGGCAATCTCTTGAGTTCAAGGCCAGCCTGGTCTACATAGTGAGTTGCAGGCCAGCCAGGGCTACAGGGAGACCCTGTCTCAAAAAGACCAAGAAAAGGGGGGGCCACCTCAAGCATCTTTGGGGAACAAGTGTCCTAGAACCAAGGCTCGTTGGACACAAACTAATGCAAGTGCACGTGTGAAACAAGTGAGACTAGGGATAGAAGGCTTGACAGTGCTTGCTGCACAAAGCATGAGGGCCAGAGTTTAGACCCCAGCACCCATATAAAGGCCAAGCATAAGCATGAACACACTTGTAACCCCAGCACAGAATGAGGCCAGACAGGAGGATCACTGGGGCTGAGTGACTGCCAGCCTAGCCAAAAGACAGGAGTTCCAGATTTAGTGAGAAACACCCTGCCTCAAAGGACCAAGGTGGACAGTGGCACAGGACACCTAATGCCTTCTCTGGCCTCTGCAAATACAAACACATACATACATGTGTACACACAAAATTCTTTAAAACTTTTTTTTTAGGGGCTTGGAGAGATGGCAGTTAAGAGCACTAGATGATCTTCCAGAGGACTGGGGTTTAATTCCAGCACCCACATGGCAGCTAACAACCATCTGTAACTCCAGTTCCAGGAGATCCAACACTGTCCTCTGGTCTTGTGGGCACCAGGCATGTATATGGTAGACTTACATACATGCAGGCAAAACACAAAATAAAAATCTCTTAAAAAGAAAAAAAAAAAAAATGCTGGACGTGGTGGCGCATACCTTTAATCCCAGCACTTGGGAGGCAGAGGCAGGTAGATCTCTGCAAGGCCAGCCTGGTCTCCATAGCTCAAGTCAAGGCCACTTGGGGCTACAGGGAGACCCTGTCTCAAAAAGACCAAATATTTTAAAAAATGAGTGCCTTGCCTGCATGTAAGTAAACCCATACATGCACTGCCCACAAAGGCCAGAAGGAGGCATCAGATTCCCCTGGAACTGGAGTTACTAATACTTGTTAGCTACCATGTGGGTGCTGGGAACTGAACCTGGATCCTCTGGAAGAGCAGACAGTGCTGAGCCATCTATACCCTGCATTCTTTCTTTACAGATAGGCACAAAGGTTCTCAGTGGAAACTGACAGTTATACCAAATAATTCTGAATGACATCTAAGCCTGCTGTTATGTACGTTCCGTAAATGGAAACTAACACCTATGTGGCTTTACAGTTAACACTGTTTTTCACTCCAGTCACCAAGGACATACCTTCCTGCCTGTGTCATACACTAAAGAATGCCAACCTTCTAGGACAACAGTATCTATGTAAGTAACAGAATTCTTGCAAGGACTGAAAAGGCACTGCTAGGAAAAAGTGCATCAACACCATATACCCTGAGATTATCCTGTCTACATTTATGGCTGGACTGTAAATTGAGTGCTGGAGATAGGTAATACAGGTCTGCCCTTACAGACTGGTGTGGGACACACATTACTACCATCAGAAATGACCACTAGCATATCACTGGTAAATCCAAGGCACTAAGGGAAGCCAGAAAAGGGCCTAAATCTGGGAGGCCAAAGGTCAAGAAGAGCTTACTAAGCAAAGAAAATCAATCTTTTTTTTCTCTTCGTTTTTTGACAATCTCCCTGTAGTCCATCTACCTCCCCTCCCAGTGCTGGGATTAAAGGTATGCACCACCACGCCCGGCTATGAATCATTTTTAAGAAAGCAGAATTTTGCCAGCCTATATAATCAGTAAGACTGTAGATAGTATGTGCAAGCTGGAAGTTTTGAAACCATGTATGTCGACACAATTGTATGGCTGGACAGAAGGACCCTACGTGCTGTATTATATACATAGTAACTTCCTCAAAAAAAACAAAACAAAAAAATGCTGCATACCTTTAATCCCAGCACTTGGGAGTCAGAGGCAGGTGGACCTCTATGAGTTTGAGGCCAGCCTGGTCACTACAGCGAATCCAGGCCAGCTAGGGCTACAGGGAGACCCTGTCTCAAAAAGACCAAAAAATAAAAAAATTAATGGAGTATAGTGGTGCACCCCTTTAATCCCAGCACTCAGGAGGTAGAAGCAGGCAGGTATCTGTGAAATTAAGGCTAATATAGTCTACAAAGTTCCAGACCAGCTGGGGCTAGAGACCCTGTCTAACAACAAAAAACACAAAAAGAATGTATGTTCACATGCATGTGGAGACATCAGACATCTTCCCACCTTTATTTTCCAATTGCTCCCTGGACATTTTTTCTTCTTTTTTGAGATAGGGTTTCATTATGTAGCCCCTGGTCGGTCTGGGCTAGAACTCACTATGAAGACCAGGCTAGCCAGACTGGCCACAATCTCAGAGAGACCTGCATGTCTCTGCATCTTGAATGCTGGGATTAAATGCATGTGCCACCACAGCTACCTTCCCACCTTATTTTTTGAGACAGGTCTTTCACTGAACCCAGAGTTCATTAATTCAGCTAGACTGGCTGCCTGGCAAATCCCTGGGACCTTCCTGTGCCCTCCTGGGGCTAGGATTATAGGTACGCTGTCGCACTAGCGTTTTTTGTTTTTTGTTGTTTTTTTTTTAAATGGGTGCTGGGGATTGAACTTGGGTTATAAAGCTTGTACAATAAGCACTTTGCCAACTGAACCATCTCTGCAGCTCCTTAAAATAACATTTTGTTTTGGGTGTTTTTTGTTGTTATTTTGAGACAGGGTCTCCTTGTAGCCTCAGTTAGCCTGGAACTATGTAGACCAGGTTGGCCTTGAATTCACAGAGATCAGCCTGCCTCTGCCTCCCAAGTGCTGGGATTAAAGGCATGCACCACCACACCTGGCTGTGATCACATTGTTTTTAAAAGGCTAGGTATGGTAATTCCATATTCAAGAGGCAAGATGGCAGCAAGCTAGAGGGCAGCCTGGCCTACACAGTGAATTCTAGGCTGGCCAAGACTAACAGTGAGACCCTGTCTCAATCTAAACAAAAAAACTGTTTAAAAGTTCAGGCTGAGTGTACATGCACTGGCAGAGCACTTACCTCATGAGTCCCAAGCTAAAAGTAGAGTTGGCAATAAACAAGCCCAGCACAGACTTACCTAAATTCTTTAAATTCTGCAGAGAAACTCTGTCTTCTTCCTCATCACTGTTGAGAAAATCAGCTATAGAGGAGTCATCATCTGAGAACAGAGCACAATCAACTGCTCAGGATTCAGAAAGCCAGGACAACCACTTTAACAACTCCCAGAGGGGAAAAAGCTATGTGTACACTTGTATGTCAGTGATGGGTAGCCAAGTGCAAAACAAAAAAACATCTCTGGATTTCACAATTAAACCTACATCCTCTTGCAGGAAAGGGGAAGCCAGTGGCAGAGCTAGTGACTTCACTTGAACAAATGCATCCTCCATGCTTTTCTGCATTATTTTAAAAATATATCTTACTATTTCTATTTTATGTGTATGCGTGTATTGCCTGCATGTAGGTAAGTATACCCGTGTCATGCAATGCCCGCAGAAGACAGAAGAGGCTGTCGGATCCCCTTGGACTGGAGTTACGGACAGTTGTTAGCTGCTGTGTGGGTGCTGGGATTCAAACCCGGGTCTTCTGAAAGAACAGCCAGTGTTCTTAACCGCTTTTCTGCAGTCTTTATACCATGTTTCCAGCTGCTCTCAATACCAACTGTGACAACTCGTGCCCCACCAAGACCAGGGCTGCTCTGCTGCTCCCTAACCACATCCGTCCGCACCCTGCCCAGCCATCTCCTTTTTATTCTCTTTGAAATTCCATTGAAAAAAAAAAATCAACCAACTCACCTTTGTTTCCCTCAGGCCTTGTAGTATTTACAGGAGCCACTGTTCTTTTTTTCTCAACAGGATGAGTTTCAGGATTGCACTGCTCTGAAAAACATACAAATTTCAGGCACACAAACCCTCAGTTCCAGCTACAAGGCGAAGCTCCCCGTGGAGCCCAGGGGAAGCATGTACTGGGGAGGAAGGGGCAGGTCAAAGCAAGTGACCAGACAAAGGAAAACCACCTGACTGGCAAAAGGCCTGAGGAAGTGAAGCTCTTATACCCCAAGAGTCTGTCCCCATCTTCCCTATCCTTAGCTCACAGGGCTTTCACCAAGATTGGTAGCACAGTGACTTCCATGATCGTCACAAGATTCTCTCAGCTGTTTCAGACAGCACATTTGCATGTACCATGTGCCACTGGGAATCTACAGGTGAAAGTCATCGCTCCCACCTTGGAGGGGTTTAGTCACATAAAACATGAGAGATGGGATAAAGAGGCGTCTGGTCTAAGTCCACCAAGGAAGCCAAGAGACTCTTATTTAAGGAGGCTTTGCCAGAAAAGAAAGAAGAAAGAAGGAAGGAAGGAAAGAAAGAAAGAAAGAAGCAGGAAGGAAAAGGTCTAGGGATGTGAGTCTGGTTGAGTGCTTAATATTTGTGAGGACCTGGATTCAATCCCTAGTAACACAAATAATAAATAAGAGGACTTGGGGAAGTCTGAAGACTGTCAAGAGAAAGAAAGGCAGAAAGGCCCTAGGAGCCTGCAGTGTTTTGCACCATTTCACTGACATTGTCTAGAGCAGAGATGAAGTATCCTACCACCCATTGCTTAAACAGCAAGTTCAAGAACACAAGTTCTCCTGGAATCTTGCCACAAACCTGTAATCCCAGCACTAGGGATGCTGAGATAGGAGAATTGCCATAAATTGCAGTCTAGTCTGGGCTATAGAGTGAAACTTTGTATAAAAACAAAATAAGCTAGGTGTGGTGGTGCATGCCTTTAATCCCAGCACTCACTCAGGAGGCAGAGGCAGACGGATTTCTGTGAGTTCAAGACCAGCCTGGTCTACAGGGAGACCCTGTCTCAAAAAGACCAAAAGAAAACAAGAAGAAACAAACAAACAAACAAACAAGCAATACACTCATACACATAAAATAGAAATAATAAAATATTTTTTTTAAAAACAACTATAAGTACCATTTGATCTAGCAATCCACTATTGAGTATACACCCAAGGGACTTAAAGTCAGTATGCATATTTAATATACCTGCACTCATGTTTATTGAAGGCAGATATAGTGGTTCATGCTTGTAATCCCAGTGTTTAGGAGGCTGAAGCAGGACTGCCATGAATTTGAGGCTAGCCTAGGCTACATAGGACCCTTTCTCAGAAAAAAAGAGAAAGAAGAAAGAAAAAAGAAAGAAAGAAAGAGAAAAAGAAAGAAAGAAAGAAAGAGAAAAAGAAAGAAAGAAAGAAAGAAAGAAGGAAAGAAAGAAAAAGGAAGGAAAGAAAGGAGAGAGAAAGGAAAGAAAGAAGGGGAGAGAGAAGAAAGAAGGGGGTAAAGAGAGAGAGAGAAAAGCATTCTTGACAGGGGGACAGTCTGTGCCTGGAATAAGAACAGGATCAGGTACAGGCAGTGATGAGTACCTGCCAGCTGATTAGTAAGGCAGACACACCAGGTGCTTGGAGCACCAGCAGAGGAAACAGAAGCAAAAGGCTGCAACCCACAGGAAGCCCCTCTCTTCTACCAGTGTCTCTCAGCAAGAACATAGGTAGCATTCTGAAGGTCCTTAGTGGTGCACAATGGATTCACACACTGCAGGATCCGGTTTGAACCCCACCACCAATTACCAATGGTATCACCAAGCCCCATTCAGCTGATCTGACAACAAAAAACTTTGATGATGGTCTCCCTGGGAACACTGCCTTTCACACCAGAGAACCAAAGTTTTCAACAAGAAAGGAGACAGTTGGAATTTACATTTTCAAAAATAAATCACCCTGGTTGCCACAGGAGTACAAGGGCAACAAGCACAAATGCCCTAAGTGCTCCTGGAGGGCCTCCATAAGGCTGCAGGATAAGAGGGAAGTATTCAGGACCCGAGTTCCAGCTGTTTCCAGAGAAGTGCCATTTCTTTCCTGCAGTGGCTATAAGTTACAGAAGGCTGTAAGCTGCCACATGTAGGCGCTGGGACCCAAACTGCGGTCCTCTAGAAGAGCATCAAGCACTCTTAACTAGTCAGCCATCTCTCCACTCTTGGCTTCTCTTCTTAATAGGTTAAGAACTTCTCAGCCTGGTCTGGTGGCAGAGGCCTGTGTATTGACCGCACTGACCCCATTTTGGATAGAGTAGCCATCTTAGAAGCTTAGCCACAGTGTATTTCTAGCTCAAGGATTGTTTTCAGAAACCCTGACCCCTTTCTCCCTTTTCCTCCAAGGAGAATGCTGCCGTGGTCACTTGCTGTCTAGACATACAGAAAACAAAATTATTATGATATGACTTAACTGCTGATTCTGGCTTAAAGCCCGGTGTGCTGCCACTGGGGGGCAGGGGGAGAGGGGAGAGAGGAGAGAGAGAAAAACTCTTTATTGCTCTTTATTACAAACAGATCTCCACAGATCTCCCATTGGTCTAACAGGTTATTAATCAAAAGACACAAACATTCCTAGTTAATTACCCTCAGTCAAAACAGCTTCTGCCAAGTGGTGGAGAACTACACTTAAATGCCAGGGCAGATAAACAGCTAGAGCAGCCTTTTGCCGAGAAAGCAGTTGACTTGCTTCATTTGTTTCCCAGCTGGCCTGTAACTCATCAGAATCCTGCAGTGTTCTGAGATTACCACTATGTGCCACCATGTCTGTTTACTAAAGTTTCGGGGTTGAAGGCAGTAAGTAACCTTGTATCTTTGTATTTATTTTAGTTTTTTTTTTTTTTTTCCGGTCTGAGACAGGGTTTCCCTGTAGCCCCAGCTGTCCTGGAACTCACCAGGCTGGCCTCGAACTCACAGAGATCAGCCTGCCTCTGACTCACAAGTGCCGGGATTAAAGGCGTGTGCGCCACCACGCCCGGCTTATTTTTGTTCTTATGTGTATGTTTTGTACGCACGTATGTAACTGCATGTAATACCCTTAGAGGACACAGGATGTAGGATCCCTTGGAACTGGAGTTAGGGATGGTTGTTAACCGCCACCTGGGTGCTGGAAATTAAGCCCAGGTCGTCTGCAAGAGCAGCCAGTGCTCTTAACCACTGAGCCATCTCTGCAATCCGTTTGTTTTTAATAAAACGAGTATGACCCGTAGGAGTCAGGGCAGAACAAAGGTTCTGACTGTTAAAAAAGCCAGGAGACTGAGGTTCAGAACAAAGGATGCTCACTGCCGGAGCCAAACCCCGAGACAGCTACTGGGTGTGGGGACTGTCAAGCTCGAGGGCGGGCCAAGGACTGCGACAGGGGCGCGAGCCCTTACCTTTGTGCTTCTGGAAACAAGTGACCGAGCAGCTGTAACAAGAGAGATTAGAGGACGCGTCAGACCCGGAGCGCTCGCGACCCTCCGGCTCCCGCCCGCCGCCCTGGCCTCCCGCCCGCCGCCCCAATCCCGCGCTCGCGCTCCTCCACCCGCCGAGCTCCGTCTCACTAGGGCACGCGGCAGGCCGGGCAGCGGTACTTCGGCTTCTCCAAGCAGATCACGCAGACTACAGTTCTACAGTTGAGCGACGCCATGATCTCCCAGAAGATCCCGCGCCGCAGCCCCACCCACACCCTTTTTCTCATTTCCTAAACAGGACCAATCACAGCTCTCAGCTCTTACTGGCAGTCAAAAGCCAATGGATTGATCCTGCTCACTACTCCAGGCCCCATAAGTGGAGTGTCGATACATTCGATGGGCATTTGGCAGCTGTGTACGTTTTCTCTGATTAGGTGGGTCACATCCGCTCAGGACTCCATAGGTTGCCCCGTCTCTGCCCTCACTCGGCTGAGACTTGGAACGAGTCCTCCCACTCTTTAGGTTTGTGGCACCGCATAGAAAAAGAATACAGGAGCTGGGCGTGGTGGCGCAAGCCTTTAATCCCAATACTTGGGAGGCAGAGGCAGGCAGATCTCTGCGAGATCCAGGCCAGCCTGGTCTACATAGCGGAGCTACAGAGAGACCCTGTCTCAAAAAGACCTAATTAATTAATTAATTAATTAATTAATTAAAAATAAATAAATAAAAAAGAATATAGGGGCTGGAGAGATAGTGCAGCAGTTAAGAGCACTGGCCACTGGCTGCTCTTGCAGAGGACCTGGGTTCGATTCCCAGCACCCACATGGCCACTAACAACCATCTGTAACTCCAGTTCCAGAAGATCTGTCGCCCTCTTCTGGCCTCCATTGGCATTGCATGACACAGGTGCATTTACATACATGGGAGCAAAACATTCATACATAGAAAATAACAAAAACTGGGACTGGAGAGATGACGCAGCGGTTAAGAACACTGTTCTTGCAGAAGACCCAGGTTTGAATCCCAGCACCCATATCACAGCTAACAATTGACCATAACTCCAGTTCCAGGGGATCCGACAGCCTCCTCTGTCCTCCACAGGCATTGCATGACACAAGTGCACTTACCTACATGCAGGCAATACACACATACACATAAAATAAAAATAAATAAATAAATACAAACACTTACCAACTGAGCCATCTCCCCATTGCCTTAGCTTCTAGATTTTTTGTTTTTTGTTTTGTTTGTTGTTTTGAGACAGAGTCGCCCTGTCTGGAACTTGCTATGTAGACCAGGCTGGCCTTGATCTTGCCTGCCTCTCCTTTCCCAGTACTGAGATTAAAAGTGTGCACCACCACACCCCGCTAAAAAAAAAAAAAAAAAAAAAAAAAAAAAGGTTAATAAAGCTACTTGTTCTTAAAAAAAAAAATGCAATGGGATAAGTTTATGTTGAGAAATACAGCAATAAATACAATTGAAGAAAACAGAGCAACTCTACATCGATACATTGGCACAAATGAAGACTTTGCAGCCAACCACCCAGACTTGGACATGTTGGCAGCCTTTTTTGTATACGCACCTTTAAAAGCCTCATTAAGAAAATATTGTCAGCTTAAGGGAGAGAATGAGTACACATATAATCACAAATGCACACTGATCATGACTGTTTAAAAATTAACATCTCACACACACACACACACACACACACACACACTGGCCCCTCTAATGTGACTTAATCCCAATCACAGGGTATTCTCTGGACCAGAGTCCTTCATGACTAAACTGCCCTCCCCACCCCTCCTTGTAATAGGGCAACTCACCCTGCACCTGTTCAATATGATACAACCTTAGGCCCAAACCCCTCCCCCACAAAGGGAGAAAAATATAAAAACCTTGAGTCTATTATAAGGAAGGGTGTGCTGTCCTCCAGATCCCAGGCTTCAAGGAGGTGCCTACTTCCTCCAGCCCTCCAGGCCATGAGGGAGTGCCCTCTCAGGTTTATACTCTAATAAATTTGCTTGCCCTATCAAAGCAGATTTCCTTCTTCCCACCATTCTCCTCAAGGTAGCTGCTAAGATGACCAGCTTGCCTGCCCTGAGATTTTTCTTCATTTCTCTCCTGATTTCTGTTTCCTTGCAACAGCAATAGAGAAACAAACTAAAACAGAAATGTGTGGCCAGCACTCATTCAGCAGAGTGGATATCATATCCTGGACAAACACATTCAAGGACCCGGGTCCAGTGCCTACAATGACTATGCAGCTCCAATTCATGAAGAGAGCTGTCAGGCATGGTGGCACAAGCCTAGAATGACAGGCACTTAGGAGGCTGAAGCAGGAGGATTCCTAGTTCAAAGCCTGCATGGCCTACAGAGTGAATTCAAGACCAGCCTGGTAAACTTAACAAGACCTGTCCCCAAATAAAAAGTAAAAAATGTACTGAAGATTATAGCTCAGTGGTAGAGCACTTGCCTAGCATGTAGGGAGATCCTAGATCCAATCCCCAGTACTAGGAAGTAAAAGAAAGATGAATTAATAGAAAGCATTCTGGCAAGATCAGGTACACAAGGTCCCTAGGGCCTTGGCACCATGACAGGGCTGAATTTATACTTTAGGGTAGAGCTATTGATGGCCTTGTAATAGCCTGAGCTCCTCCATTTTGTGTAAGTTTGACTGGCTAATCGTCTGGTCATAGGACCACCCCTAGGAAGGTGGGTTCACCTTATGTTATGCTAAACTGATGGACAGAATACCTAGCGTTAGTTAATGAGATAGCAAAGTTCCTGCCTCCTAGCACAGAACTTCTAGATGATCCACAGTCATGTAGTCTGTAAGTCTGCCCGCTTTTCTGAATTTTTCTGAAAAGTGTGGTCTTTCCTTTTCTTCTCCATATGCCTTTTCTAAACATGCTTTCTTTAAGGCTTTGGGATACCCCTATCATCTTGTATTTCTTTACTTTCTCTAAAGCTTTCCTCTCCCAGCCATGTGGCTGCCAGTCAGCCACATGTATGACCCCCATGAAGGCTGTAACCTGCATGGCTTCATGGCTTTCTTTCCTTCTTCCCACCATTCTTCTCCTCAAGGCAGCTGCTAAGATGACCAGCTCGCCTGCCCTGAGGATTTTTATTTAATATTCTAATAAAATTGTAAAAGCTTAAATCTTGTACCAAGGAATTTACCTTTTGGACTTTACGTTTAAAAATCTCCCATCTTCTCCAGGTAGGGAAGCACTCCCTAAATTGGCTCAGAGAGTACTGTCCCTGGTAAATAGATTCGGCTGATTTGGAACTTTTTGAGTCTGAGTGGTCCTTCCCAGTGGTCCTGAACTCCATAACAGCCTCAGGGTTATTGAGTTTTCTTAGAATCCCATCCCTGGTCTCACTTCTTAAGGACCCATTTCCTCTCATATCACCACACTGAGTATAAGCCTCCAACAAACGGATATTTAGGGGACAAACCACATATAAACCACAAAATGGGCCCTTGACCTAAGCCAGGAGGGAATGGTCATGTCTCTGTGGTCCATAAGACATGAGTCTAAACTCTCTTTTGTTCATGGGGTCTGGGTAGGTGGCAGGATTATTTTCAGACCCCTAAGGCCCAGGAATAGGAAGGAGGGTAGCAAGAAGATGCAGATTTGTATTGAGAGGCCCAAGTGTGCCTTGCTCGGCGGGGAACCTCACTCTTGTGATGAATGGCAATACCAACTGGTAACAGAGTCTTGGACCCTGGGACTTGTGTCTTTACAACAAGCCGTTTATTACAAAATTCAGATGGTTTTTATACATTACAAGGAACTGGCGGTCATGTGGGATATGGCAGTTACATACAAAGATTTAGGGTACAAAGAAACAGGACATATAGTCTTTTAGTTGTCACCAGAAGGATGCTTAAACTTTTACTCAAGGTTACCAATGCCTGTTTAGTAATTTATTGGCCACAATGTTTTCTTTCTTAGGGCTAAAAGCATAGTAAACTTTTAGCTTTTAGCTCAGGAGTAAACTTTTAACCTGGCCTAATCTCTTAGCTAATGACAGCTGAGTTATTGTTCAGGACGGACATGAACTAAGGGCTGTTGACCAAGGCACTTTGCCGTGGAGCAAGGAGCCTGCACTTTTGACCTGGCCACTATTCTCCTGCGAGTCTTGGGTCTCAGGGATTATCACAGGTACTGTTTTCAGCACCCCTCCCTTTATCAGAGAATGCAGCCTGGACTTAAAAGTTTTAGGCTCATCTTGCCCTAGGGCATTCCTGGTCTACAGATTTGTGGACAAGATAATGCAAGACTTAGGGTTCAATTCTGCTGGGCCTGTTATAGATATAGGCCAGAAACAGAGAGCTAAGATCTGCACTCCCATGTTCACAACTCAGAGAAAGGTCAAACGCTCACCCCAAAACAGAAACACAGCATGGTGTCAGCATGGTGTCAGGGCAGAGGTACTGGGCATAAGACTGTCAGAAAGCCTGGGCTTCATGAGGTACTAGAGAGAGAGAGAGAGAGAGAGAGAGAGAGAGAGAGAGAGAGAGAGAGAGACTGTCCTGAGCTCACATGTCAAGTACAATGTAAAAAGACATGTCCTTTCACTCTCCTCAGCCTCAGTGTCCCCATCTGTAAAATGCAGTGAAGACAGTGCTTCTTTCAGGGCTGTGGTAAACTCAGCTCCATTGGCTTAAGGCCACGGGGGATCAGCCTGAGCCAAGACCCATTCCTCTTTTTTAGGCAACCATGGCAACCACTACACTAAAGAAACTTGGCTCCATTGGTTCAGAGGATCTGGAGCCTCTCAGCAAAGGAAATTACCAATACTGGGGGAAGGGGGTTCTGGATTCAATTTAAATAAGGTTTTTATTTTTTAAATGTTTTTATTTATTTATTATTTTTATTTCGTGTATGAGTGTTTGCCTGCATGTATGTAAGTGCGCCTGTGTCCTGCAATGCCAGAGGAGATCAGAAGAGGGAGTTGGATTCCCTGGGACTGGAGTTATGGACGGTTGTTAGCTGCCATGTAGGTGCTGGGAATTGAGCCCAAGTCCTCTGCAAGAACAGCCAGTACTCTTAACCACTCAGCAATCTCTCCAATCCATTTTTTTTAATAGACAAAAGCAAAATAGGGATGGGTCTAGAGGTCTGGGTGTAAACTGAAGCATGTTCTGTTTGTTCAGGAACTGGGTAAAGGCAGACGGTTGTGTTCAGATAATCAGTATCAGAAGATGTCCACCTGGCAGTGAATCAAGGCGGCCTCTCTGAGTCAAAGTGGCTTGATTCCTCCAGGCAAAGAAGA